ATTAAAATTATTTTAAATCTTATTATTATTATTAAATCTAAATTATATATATAATTATTTTCTAAGTTTATTAAATTTTATAATATATTCTTATTAAAAAAAATTAAATATTTATTATTTTATTAATTTAATAATTATAAAATTAAATTAATATTTAAAGAATCCTATTATTTAAAAGTTTATATAATATATTCTAAAATAAATTAAAAGTTTTGAAGAAATAGATTAAAAAAAATCTAAAAAAAAGATTTATTTGTTTTAATTCTTTTTTTATTATATTTTCTATTCTATTTATAAAAAAGGTTAGAAAAGGATTATAACTTTATATAAACTATTAAATTTTAAATATAATTATTATAAAAGATTATTATTTATTATTATTAATAAAAAAAATATTAAATAATCTAAAAAGAATAAAATATTTTTTAAAAATTAATATTATTTTTATCTTTAATAATCTATAAAAAAAAAAAAATTAAATTTTATTATTTTTTAAATTTAATTAGATTCATTTAAATCTTTAATAATATTATTTAGATTTATTAATAAAATTTTATATAACTATTTAAATATTTTTTATATTATATATTTAGATGATATTCTAATTTATAATTAAATCTATATTAAATATATTTATTATATTTAATAAATATTAGAATACTTATAAATAATAAGACTCTATATCAAATTTAGTAAATATAAATTCTTTATATATAAAATAAAGTTTTTAAAACTAATTATAGATAGAAATAATTTTTGAATAGATCTTAATAAAATAAAGATAATTATTAAATAAAAAACTTTAATCTATTTAACTAATATCTAAATCTTTATTAATTTTAGAAACTTTTATTATTAATTTATTTATAATTTCTTGAAAATTATTAGATATTAATTTTATCTAGACACCTATCTACCAAAAAACATTTAAATAATTAAAAACTGTTTTTATAAATATTCTAATATTAAGATTTTTCAATTAAATAAAAAATATAATTCTAGAAACTTATATTTTTAATTATATATCTATTAGAATACTATTATAATATAATAATAAAAATATATTATATTCTATTATATTTTTCTTTAAAAAATATTTTATAATAAAATATAATTATAAGATTTATAATAAAATATAATTATAAGATTTATAATAAAAAACTATTAATTAGAAGATTAAAAGATTTATTTAAAAAAAAATATATATATTTTTTTTATTAGAATTAAACTATTTTAAAATCTAAAAATCTATTATCTAAGATTACAATTAATTTAAAATTAAATACTAATAGTTAATATTAAATATATTTTATTAAATATATTATTATTAATAAATTAATTTCTTTGTTATTAATATAATAATTATTATTTAATAATAATTATTTTTAAAATAATAAAATTTAATTTATTTTGAATACTTTAAAAACTAATTAACTAAGATATTCTAATATTATATTAATTAATTATAAATATATTAGTTTATATTTAAAATATTAAAATAAATTTTATATATTTAACTATAATAAAATAAAAGTTAAAATATTAAAATTCTATTATAAAAATCTTATTATTAAATATTCTAAAAAAAATAAAATATATAAATTAATTTTATATAAATACTATTAATCTAGAATATATAAATATATAGATTAATAGATCTAAAATTATTATTTTTATTGTTAAATTATTCTTTTCTAAAAAATAAAATAAAAAATATTAAAACTTTTATTAATTTTTAAATATATTTAGTAAAATATAAATATAGATTTTATTATATATCTATTATTAAACAATAGCTATAATAATATTTTAATTATAATCAATTATTTAATAAAAAATAAAATATTTTATTTTCTATATTAGAATAATTAATATTAAAGATATAGCTAATCTATATTTTAAATATATTTAAAAATTTTATAATATTTTTAAAATAATTATATTAAATTATAAGTTTAATTTATTATTATTTTTTAAAAATATTTAATATTCTATTTAAAAATTTATAATCTATTATTTATTATATATTATTCTAAAACTAATAATTAAATTAAATATATTAATATTATTTTAGAATAATACTTATAAATTTATATATTATATTTATAAAATAATTAATTTAAATAATCACTAATAATTAAATTTACTATTAACTTTATTTATTTTGAATCTATAAAAGTATTCCTATTTATAATTAATTATAGATTCTATGTAATATTAGAATTTAAACTAAACTATTCTACTATTTGTTCTATTAAAAAAAATATTAAAAAGTTTATTAATATAATATATAAAATATAAAAATTTATTTATATTAAGATTTTAATTATTTAAACTTATTATAAGAAACAAATTAACTATTAAAAATAATCTATATATTATTATATTATAAAATAAAAAATTTAATTAAAAATTTATAATATCAAAATATTCTATCTTTAAAAAAAATTAAATTAAAAGAACTTCAAATTATATTATATTAAAAAGATTATTAATCTATATATTTACGAACTTAAACTATTTAGAAATATAAGAATACACTCTATATTTAATATAACTCTACTCTATTCTACTATCAATAATCTTCTACCTAATCAACATCTCGATCTATCGCTATCTGTTAAAACTAAAAAATTCAAAGAATAGAAAGTTAAAAAAATCTTTAATTTCCAATAGATTTATTAAAGATATAGTAAGTCTAAACTACAATATACTATTCAATAGATTGGATATAATAATCCTACTGAAGAATCTATTAAGTATCTAAAGAACATCCGTTAATTAGTAAATAACTACTACTACCACTATCCTAATAAATCTTGACTATATCCTTCCTAAATCTCAATAGAGTTCGATCCTAAAGAGGAAGGTACTATTACAGTGTAAGACCGTAGTACTCTTTAGTTTGGATTCTGCTATGACTATCTGCTTCCGTTTCTATATTTAAGTTGTACCGTTTCTAATTCTGTTATAGCTCTTCAAGCTATGTTCTGTTTCTATCCTGTACTTTGCTGTCTATTTGTCTGTCTGTTTGTCTGTTTGTCTATATCTACTCCTAGCCTTGTCTGAATCTGATCCTACTCTACCCCTTAACACTTGTCCAGGCTTATTTAAAACTAAACAAATTAAATTTAATAAATATTATTTCTAAATTAATAATATTTAAAGATATATATATACTATTAATATTATATTTATATCTATAAATAAGTTTAAATTCTTTTATATTAACAATTAGAATAATTATTAATAAAATAATTATTAATTATCTTTTTATAAAATTCTTATTAAATTACTATTAATATTTAAATCTATATTTAATAAACTTAGTTTAAATAAAAATATTTTAATTATATTAACTAATAATAAAATAAATTAATATTTAAATAATAGTATATAATAAACTTTATATTTTTTTTATATTTACTAATAATATAAATATTATTTTAATAAATCTATTTACTTTCTAAAAAAAATATTAATTTTATTTTTTAACTATTATTATTTTTATATATAATATACTTTTATTTCTAATAACTAATATAAAAATCAAATAACTATTTAATATAACTTAAAATATCTATTACTATTATTATAAAAAATTGAAATTAGAAATAATAAAAAATTTAATAATATTTCTTTCTATATCTAGATTTAATATAAAGAAATAAAAAGTTAAGATTTTGAAAGAATTCTTTTCTTAGAATAAAATAAGAACTATTAAAAAAAAAATTTAATTTAATAGAAGTTCTTTTAATTAATAATACAAAAAAGAATAATTATAAAATTAACTATAAAAATTTAATCGAATTAATTCTAGATACTAATAAACAAAATAAAGAATCTAAATTAAATCTTCTATAAACTATACCACAAATCAAAGTGTTAGAATAAAAACAAAAAAACAAGAAGAATAATCTATTTCAATATTACTAATAGTATTTATATAAATAAAATTTAATAATAGTAACATATTATTTCTATCTATCAAATTATCTTTAGATTTACAAAAATAAGAATAATCTAAATATCTTAACTTATAACTAAAATATATATAAGTTATATATCTAAGGATTTTAATCTGTTTGTCTTGTTTGTAACCCCATTTGGAGCCCCAAAACCCAATAGGATTAGACCCAATAACCCCAAACCCAACATAGGGTTGGGTTTTGGGTCGAGATCTTCGATCCAATTGGGGTTTTGCGGAAGTCTATAAATAGTAATAGGCTGAGATTGCTACTAGGCGATATAAGTTCTAAGTATAGATATATAGCTTTACATATATTAATAAATACAAGTCGATGTACTAATACATGTTGCGGTATTCAACTACTTTAGGCTATAGTAGTCTTATCCTATATATAGTACGGTATTTTTTTTAAATCGGTAGTTTTTTTTAAAATACGCAGTTCAATTCAATACGTATTCTCTTCACCCAAACCGCATTCGCTTTAAATACGCATTAAATCTGCTAAATCCGTAGTTTTTATCATACAGTATCCAGAAAGAACTGGTTGATCCACTGCATTATTGCTTACTCTGCTCGGACAACTGTATTTTTGGCGACTACGGTGGTTCTGCCGTCGGGGCGACCGCACTAAATTTTACCGTAATCCCTGCATGGTAAAACTTCCCCCTAACCATATCTGCCTTTCGCCGGTTTCCCGATCGCATGATCAGTCGTCACTACGCAATTGCAAGGAACCTTCGGAATGATTTGACCCTCCGATGCCTCAGATTGCCACACGGCTGCATCGGCCTCCTGACACTCGCCACAGGGATCGAGGTACAGTAGAAAGGTACAAGACTAAGATAATGTTTCATCAAAGCAGTAGTACTATTAAAGGTTAAGTTCACAATCCAACCATTGGACTGTGATATTAGATACATGGCTCGCACCGTCAAGATAGGAGCGCCTAGGAATTTTGGTAGTCCCTAAAAGACCAACAAAGAGTCCCCGGGAAAAAATGAAAGAAAGATGAGCGACAGCCTGTAACCGCTTACTGTGCCTTGGTGCCCTTGGCCTTGTTCTCGCGGCGTCGCTTGAGCGCATCCGGGGTGTATTCGGTGTCAAGAACATAGTCCCACCACCGGAAGCTACTGGCATAGTTGCCAATAAACTTCTCATGATGCAGGTCGTGATGATCAGCACCTGCCCAGAAGGGGAGGAAGTGGTGCAAGCTCCATGGGAATTCATATCCACTGTGTGCGTCAATGGCCTGGAAGAGGCGCAACACAATCCAGATGTACATCGTGAGGATGTGTAGGTTTCCTGTCATGGCACACCACAGAATGGGGCAACTGACAGTGCCGAAGCCCAAAATCATGACTTCGATGGGCGACGCGTATTCTGCAGCCAGACCGAAGGGCGCCGAGTACTGGTGGTGAATTTTATGGATAGCCTTGTAGAGGGGACCCCAGTGCAGCGCACGGTGCATGAAGTAGTGCCAAGTATCCTCCATCACGAAGAAGATCGCAATCTGGTAGGCCATGGTCCAGAGGGTGGGGAAGGGGATTGTGGTGGAAAGTCCGCAGAATTGGGCCATTGGATGGAAGAGCCTGGGATGTCGCATTAGATATGGTGTTCTCTGGATATTGCTGTCTGTGGGATGCTAGAGCTTACCAGATCTGGGGAAGTTCCACGGTGAAATGACTCAAAAGCACGAACTTGGCACAGTCCCATTGTTCCTTGAGCGAAGGCATTTTGTTCTGCTATTGATTAGCCCGGCGTGGGGACGTGGGTGTTCACAGCAGACTTACCCCTTGAATCTTGTAGCGATTGAACAGCCCCCATGTGTCGATGAACACCCATGGTAGGGACCGGCCAAAGTAGACCGTTTCATGCATCACGAAGGACATGATGCCGGTGGCGAGGACATCATTCTGCATCCAGGCATACCAGGCGGCCCATAGTCTCTCCGCGACATTGAGCTCTGTGTTGTACTTTCCGATCTCCTCGAATTGACCCCAGTAGGTCCCCGACGAAAGTGTTGAATTCCTGGGGATGATTAGTGAAGGAATTGGAGAAAAATTGGGGGGAACGACGTACATTGTGAATGTGTGTGAGAAAGAAAGGGAAACGGGGAGGGGAAGATTTAAGTAACCCGAGTCCCGACGTGGCGAGATTCTTATTTTTTTTTTGCCGGTCAGGGGTGAAAGGGAGAGAAGTGGGCAGGGAATAAGGCCACTGACGAGCCGATCGCCATCCGAGATCACCCCACCCTGCAGCAATCATGTAATGCGGATTTCGCTCGTTTCTGGTTGGTTTGTTCCTGGCCTAGACCGTACTCGTATAGTACGGCGTAGTGCGGATTCACTTTTCCATGAGAACAGGGTATGCAGAATAATCTGTACTGAGTAAGGAGTTGACTCTGTACGAAGAATGAACTATGAAGTACGAAGTACGGAGTACTCCGTACTCGTAGCTGATTTCCTCTCGGTATGCTCTGTACCGTGTACGTGCGAGTCCTGAGTACAGTTTACATTGTTTGTATTGTTTGCTCCATTTGCACCAATCACAGCATGTTTGCATGTTTGCACCGTTTGTCCTTCATATGACGTCTCGTCCAGGAACCAGGTACTTCTCTTTTACCTTTAGGGCCATGTCGGTCATACGAGAGTGAGTCAAGTCCTTCGTTTTTGGTCCCACTGACCCGGTCTAATGCGCATTCTAGAACAATCTGTGGTGTCAATACACAGCTGGACCGTCTACAGCAACATGTCACAGTCCAGACCTTGGAGACATCCCAGTCTCGTGAATATGTCGGCCAATTAGAAGAGGTCATACATTCAATCTCTGTGACTTCCAAGACACAGCCTCTCCTAGCCCCCAATCGGCTGGCAGACCTGCTATCCGATCCGATCTTTTCGACCCTGCAGGTACAGCCCAATATCCCGGGCCTCTCGGACGAGGAGACTGGTGACTATGTGTGGCTAGTCGCGGCAAAGGCTGCCGCGCAGATCTCCGGCCTGATGATGAATGCGCTACTAGACCAAACGCTACAATTAAGCGACGAGACCTACTATTGGACTGAGATACTCGGATCAATCTGGTATAGTGGTCTATATGCTCTTCAGAAATCGCCAGGACAACTGTGTCGATGGACCCAGGATGCCTACCGTGCACAGATTGACCAAGGGACACCATCCATCGCCGAAAGGTGGAATCAGTTTTATCAGATTGCGAGTCAAAATGCGTGGCAGTTTGGGGGTCACTCCGTGCGTTCCCATATGCTCGCCCCGATTCGATCCTGCCGGGCAGAAATCCGACAGAAACGGGACCTACTGTTGGCCATGAAGGAACTTCATACCAGTAGTCTGGGCCTTTTAATGGAAGGGTGGCACCTTTTTGCGACTACCAACTCCACAGACACCAATGCCGAACCTTCCAGCAAGGGCTGGCAAGACCAAACCAAAAAATCCGTGAGTTTAATCGAAGCTATTTTCAAACAGATGGCACTCAAACCCAGCACCCATGAGTTTGAAGAAGGTGTGTTCACCGCTCTCAATACGAATCCCGAGCGCATGCACCTACAAACAGAATCGAGTGGTGCGCAAACGCCTTTGGACTTGATCGAGCGACTGGTCCATGTTCTCCGCGAGGAGCTGCCAAATCACACTCACTCCATCTCGCGATTCATTGGTCATCATGGCCGCCCGTCTCGCATTGTTCGCTATTGGCTACCGGTATCACTTGCAATCTTGTCGACGAGTGCATCGACCAAGTTTCTGTTCAACCGACAAGACCAAATTATTCAGGGAGTGGTCAACATTGGTTCTACGACCCTTGATTTCTGGGGAAATTGGGTTGTAGACCCGATTCGAAAACTCATCGGTACGATCCGACACGACGAGAAGAGTGAAATTGCCATCATGAGCAAAAACAGCTTGCTCGCTGATCGGGCTAGCTTGGAAAGAATGGTGGTGGACTTTGTTCGAGATCGGCCAGACCCTCATGGGGGGTTGGCCGATACCACTACCATTGTCAATTCAGTCAAAGAGGGGGACCTAACACCTGTATTGAAGGCATATGAAAGGGACCTTCGATCGCCCCTCATGGGGACCGTGAGAGGCGACCTCATCCGTGCGCTTTTAATTCAGATCCAAAAAACTAAAGTTGACGTGGAGATTGCCATCAGTGGAATTGATGCCCTGCTGAAGAGCCAAGAGCTTGTGTTTGGGTATGTGCCAGACAATGCTACCTCCTTCGTCGAAAGTCGCTAATTTCACCTTAGCTTTGTTGGCCTGACTCCTGGGATACTCGTCTCCCTGGCTACTCTCCGGTGGTTGGGTGGCCTTTTCGGCAATAGACGAGGATCGCAAACCGGCAAACAGCGCCATCAGCTCAAACGTGGATTGCGGTATGTAATCCTCCCTAACACCTACCGGCAGAGACACTAATAAGACTTAGAAATGTGGCTCGCATTTTGACTTCATCTGCTGTGTCGCCCGACGGGACTGTTCCTTACAAGGATTTTGGGCAGTTGATTTGCGAAGTGGAGGCACTTCTCCAACATGTGAAGACCGTTTCCAATGGCCTGCAATACCGAGAGTTCCGTGAAGACATTCAAGATCTCCTCAACGTTCAACATGGAGTGGATAAGCAGCTTCGGGTGATTGAACGGATGAGGTGGACATACTTCCAATGAGGACGCCGCAGGTATTCAAACACTAGATTGGGCCTTGGTGCCTCAAAAATAAGACATTTCGGGGTAAAGCTGTTCACCTACATCCTATACATCCCTATACATGTGTAGAGAGAGTATCAACGGGAGGTATCAACTATAAGGGATACCGTTTCTCAAGTTCCTCTGAGTATTTCCTCTTCTCATCGTATTTTTTTATAACTCTTTTTATATTTTTTTCTACACCTCTTCTATACTTCTATACCTCTTCTTATACCTCTTATATATTCAATAAGACATAGACAAAAAACTACGCAGATGCCTAAGGGAAATGTCCCAGTCCGGCCATGATTACATAACCTTATCTCGGGCTCACCTCCACTCCCCAGCCCATCTACCTCCTTTTCCCATAAAACATCAGAATCTTCGATATTGGGGGATCTACACACTTTCTTAATCTGATCTGCTGCCTCCGCCAAATACACCCGTCACACGCCTCCCTGTCAAGCCGAGAAAATCATCAGCCCTTCACTCCGATCCACACCTCAAACCTTACCGGTCAATACATACAGAGTACCTACTTCACTCGACCTTCCCTCGCTCTCTTGTTTCTCAGAATATCACCATAGACTACCATGGCCGGAACACGGAATTATGATTTCCTGGTCAGTACCTGAGGGGAAAACAGCGCCTTACATTCACACAGTCTGCTGACCTGGCCATAGATCAAACTGTTGTTGATCGGAGATTCCGGGGTGGGAAAATCATGCTGTCTATTGCGCTTCAGTGAAGACTCCTTCACTCCGTCCTTCATCACTACTATCGGCATTGATTTCAAGATCCGAACGATCGAGCTGGACGGAAAGAGGGTGAAGTTGCAGATTTGGGACACAGCCGGCCAGGAACGCTTCCGCACTATCACGACAGCGTACTACCGAGGCGCCATGGGTATCCTTCTGGTCTACGATGTAACAGATGAACGTTCGTTCCAGAGTAAGTATTGCGACCCCCCCCCCCCCACCTATCTGATCAAGGTTAACCGAGACCCTTCCCCTTAGACATTCGGACCTGGTTCTCAAACGTGGAGCAGCATGCCAGCGAGGGCGTACACAAGATTCTGATCGGCAACAAGTGTGATTGGGAAGAGAAGAGAGCGGTCTCCACCGAACAAGGTCAACAACTGGCGGACGAGCTTGGCATTCCCTTCCTCGAGGTCTCCGCCAAGAACAACATCAACATTGAGAAGGCGTTCTACAGTCTTGCATCGGATATTAAGAAAGGCATGGATACTTCCAAGACTGAACAAGCGGGTAATGGGGGTGTCAGTATAGACCAGCAGGGCTCGGGTCTGAATGGCAACTCTGGCGGGAAGTGCTGTTAAGTGTATCATAATGTCTTTTTTTTTTCGAACATATTTTATCTTTGTTTTTTCCATTATGTGGCAAGATGTGCCCAAATTGATTTGATGAACTATATACTTTTGTATACTCCATATACTCCATATACTCCATATACTCCATAGTAGTGAGAGACTGATAATGATAGTGATAGTGATCTCATATCAGGACCCACATTTATTTTCCTCACTTTTCTCGACTTTCCTTTCTATACTCTCTCTCTCTCTCTCTCTCTCTCTCTCTCTCTCTTTCTACTTCATACCTTTGATACCCCTTTCTCTTCCCTTCGTTTCTTCGTCTGGTGTCTGGTGTCTGGTGGTCGGACTTTTTCACTGTGATACGGTCTCGAGGTCCACTTTTGCCCCTCCCCCACCAAAACCTTTGATATTTCTTTTTTTCCCCCGTTCTTTCTTTCTTCTCTTCCCACTGGTGGACGAGAGGGAAGCCAGTTGAATATATCATGTCTGAGCGCACTTTTACTGCACGGCCATTGCCGAAACAGCAGGCTCGAAAGGACCTCAAAGATGCCTTCCGGGTTCATCTTTCTTCCTCTTCGCTAGCTGCACTGAGACTCCAAACCGAGGGCATATGCATTCTACAGCAAGGGGAAGGGCCACCAAGGACCGCAATTGCGTGGTATGCATCGGAAAACATCCAAAGCACGGTGATGCAAATATCTAAAACCCTGCAAGAGTGCTATGAGATCAAAATCGGAGAGAAGGTCGCAATCACGAGAGCGGAAGGTCCTCTGGAAGTGATTCAAAGTGTAACATTAACGGATTCCTCTGATGCCGACAAAATCGAAAGATATGGCTCTATATCAGACAGTGACAGACCACACTGGGAATGGGCCCTGGATGAAAAGCTCCTCAGATGTGGATCCCTGACGACGGGGTTGACCTTTGATCTAGAGCTTCGGGGCCAACACCGAAGTTTCAAAGTGGCCAGCATTCGCTCACAGAACCCGGGATCCAGTCATACGCTTTTCCAGTTCACGGAGGCCTCGCGCACTTCCCTTGGACCGGTCATAGATGAGAAAGAAGAGATCACATCATCGGGCATTGAAGTGCAGCCCACCGGCCTCGGGGGGCTCTCGCGTCAGATCAACGACATCAATGAGAGTTTGTCTGATTTCAACAACGACCCCCGAAAGCCTGCTATGCCGGAATTTTACGAAAGTGGCCGAGGGATCCTGCTATATGGACCCAAGGGAACCGGTAAGACCAGTCTTCTGAATCAGATTGAGAAGGCTGGTTGGAAACAAACCTTCAAAATTGGCTCGTCAACTCTGGGTCGGAGCACTGGGGAAAGTGAACTTAAGCTCCGTAACATTTTCCAAGAGGCAGCTCGCTCCAAACCCAGCGTGATCATTATTGACCAACTGGAATTCATTGCCCCGAAGCGAACCTCCATTGAGTCGCAATCTCTCGCCTCTGTCCTATGTGAGAATCTTGACTCCATCAGAAATGCATCAATTCTCGTTGTGGCTGCAACCCGGCACCCTAATCAAGTTGATGATGCCCTAAGAACACCCCATCGCCTTGGAACCGAGATTGAGCTCCAAGTCCCCACATCTCAAGATCGAGCAGAGATACTACGAGCGATTCGTGGGCCGATTACTGCGGGCTTGACCGATGAGCTTGTCGATTTGCTAGCTGAAAAAACACACGGATATGTTGGAGCCGATCTTTTTGCGCTCTTGCAACTCGTCTGCCGCAAAGCCCGACAGAGGCAGCTCTCAGAACAACCCGTTACGGCCCTTTTCACAGCCCTTTCAATGAATCCCACGGACAAAAATGACGCTTCGATGCCTACAGACTCTAGCAACGAAGACTTGGTTATCCCGTTGCAAATCCAGGAAGCAGACATTTCTCTCTCTTTACAAGAAATCCGACCTACAGCCATGCGCGAAGTATTCTTAGAAACACCCAAAGTCAGATGGTCTGACATTGGAGGACAACATGAGATCAAAAAACGTCTTCAACAAGCCGTTGAACGGCCCTTGAAGGTAAGTGTCTAGAACCCTGAAAATTTATTCCGCCGACTTACCTTTCCTCCCACAGTATCCCCAACGTATGCGCCGACTCAACGTAAATAGCAAGAAAGGCGTTTTACTTTACGGACCTCCAGGTTGTTCCAAAACTTTGACTGTTAAAGCCCTGGCTACTGAGGCTGGGCTTAATTTCCTCGCAGTCAAGGGAGCAGAGATCCTCAGCATGTATGTCGGAGAGTCCGAGCGATCCCTGAGAGAGATTTTCAGGAAAGCGCGTGCCGCACGACCCAGCATCATCTTTTTTGACGAGATTGATGCCATCGCTGCTCGGCGCGGCAGCAGTTCTGGTGGAGTGAACGTCCTCACCACGTTACTCAACGAGATGGATGGCATCGAAGAGCTCCGAAACGTGCTGGTGATTGCCGCCACCAACAAGCCCGACGTTTTAGATCCGGCCTTGATGCGCCCGGGGCGCTTGGACAACATCCTCTACATTGGTCCCCCAGATTTCGAAGCCCGCAAGGAGATCATCCGCATCTGGGCCAACAAATCCGTGATCAACCCGGATGTTGACCTGGACGACCTGGCCTCTCTGACGGAAGGTTATTCTGGTGCTGAAATCGTGAGTATCTGTGAAACCGCTGGAGATGCGGCTCTTGATGAAGAGGAGGAAACCCAACAAGAGTTGGATGTGCAATGGAAGCACTTTGAGTATGCTCTAGGTCAGGTGCGACGGCAGATCACCGATACAGTTCTCCAAGAGTACGAACAATGGAGAGAGGGACAAAAATAGGTCAATATATATTCTTCACCAGACTTGTAATAGGAACGAAGAACGAACAGGAACGAACCAGATCCAACAGGAAGGAAAAGTAGTGAAGTGAGGTGTATATAAAGTTGGAGTTCAAGGTGATTACCGAATTCGGTTAGTCCGAGGATTCCCATCTTTTTGACTTCTTCTGTTCTTCCCCCAGTCTTGACTTCTTGACTCCCCCCTTCACGTCTCTTTGCCCTCCGTATCTTATCCTTTACCTATTTAATTCCCGTTGAAGACCTGCGACAATTCCCCATGTCCTCCAGATCACCTATACACCCCATGGACGACCGAGGACGATCGCGCTCTGCGCGTCATTCAAGACCTCTCAGCGAAACGCGAAGTGTGACTCGGAGTCAATCGCCAAGCCGTGATTATCGCTCAAGAACCCGTTCCCGATCGCCTTCCCGAGGCAGAACGCGATCACGCAGTCGCAGCCGAGGTGCCCGTCACTACCATAGCCGGAGTGCCAGTCGCTCCCTGAGTCCAAATTCCAGTCCTCCCAAAAGCTCCAAGGTTGGTCCTAGTTTAGCGCCAGAATCATGGCCTCCTTTGCCAGAGACACTCAGCTAATATGTTCTCCTATCAAGATTGTGGTCGAAAAATTGACCAAAAACGTCACTGAAGAACATGTTCGAGAGATCTTCGGAGGCTTTGGAGATATAGAGTATCTTGACGTGCCCGTTAACAAAGCTTGTAAGGCTCACTGTGGTTCCTCTGCGACACCGACACATCCTCTCTAACCCGATCCCTTTCGACTTTAGTTATGACAAACCGAGGTACCGCCTATATTCTTTACTACGATCCCGCCGACGCTGAAGCGGCCATTGCTCATATGCACGAAGCCCAGCTGGATGGGGCGATCTTGAATGTCTCAATTGTTCTTCCCCGACGGAAATTCTCACGTTCACCTCCCCCAATCAATCGAGGAAATGCTGGCCGCCCCAGATATGGTCGAGGACCGTATGCGGGCCCATCCTCACCGCGAAGACATGGGGGCGGGCGACATGGGGAGCGCCGTGACACTTACAGGCCACAGTCCATGTCTCGATCACGCTCTCCTGTTCGGTCGCGATCATATTCCTCGCGGTCTCGGTCTCGGTCTCGGTCCCCAGCGCCGCGTAGAGGCAGCCCGCAGACAGATTCACGACACCGCAGGCGCCGCAGCCCAAGCTACAGCAGTCGAAGCCGCAGTCCCAAGCGTAGTCGGGGCCATCGCCATTGAAACTTAGGCTTAAAATTCCTCCAAAGCGTCTTCACCCATGCTATTCAATTTGATTCCGTTTCAGACAGGGGCCTTGGATATCATGCATGGTCTCTATCCTGGGCAATTGCCTCCATAAAATGTCACCTGAAACGGGCCCTATCAATTCTCAAAGGAGATTTTTATCGACGAAGTGAGGAGCATCGTTTCAATTGTTCTCGGCAAGCAAATCACGAATATCTCTATCTTTGGGACTAAGCAAGCGTATAAGGGGCGATGTACTAATGCGAATATGACAAAAAGGTTAAGGCAAGTTGTCTTGGTACATGGAACAATCCATATGTGAAACATATCATTTTTAAACAGATCAATAGGTTCAGCAGATCGCTTGGGTTTTGAGGCAAGGGACTTTCCTGCACTGCCGTTCTCCCCTTCACCTCGCAAGGAATTATCTGGATCAATCCTATATCACATCACACAAAAAAAAATATCAGAAAAATGAACACCATCCGATGTACATTGACGCCAGTTTCTTCTTGTCTGTTGCCTGTAGAATCAGTTCATCCACTTGACCATCCACGGAGAGTGCGATGGGCTGCTTGGACATGTAGCCACGAAGCTTGTTCCGCACATCCTCCAACACCCCAGCTGGAGTATCGGGGACATTGACATGGGTACGGCGCTGGAGAAAGTGGTCAGAAACGGGTCACAGACAGGCTTATCAGTACTTACTACTCTCTTTCCAATGAAATCGGTCGTTGGGTCATGCAAAAATGTCTCGAGAATAGTCATCAAAGCGTCCTCGTTTTGCCGAAGAAGGCTGAGTGTGATCTCGCAGGTTCTCCTGAAGGGGCCTGTACAAGGACTTAGCATAAGAGCAAGTGAGGCAGGGGATTTGTACCGACCATTGTATCCATAGGCACCGAAAGCATCAACCATATTATGTGTTAACCGGAAGGGTACCACTTCAGGCTTCTCAAATGTCTGACCCTTGTCAAAGAGGCAATTGAAGTCAACATGCAGGAGTCCACCAGTGCCCTCTTCAAAAGAAAGGTTCTCGCCATGTCGATCACCTAGACTGTATCCGCGCGAAGAGACACTGATTAGCATCATTCCAAGTTATTAAGCATAGCGGTTTGCATACCCAAGAACATATCCAACCATGGACATGACGGCTGAAGACCGTGTGTACCTCAATCTTGCCGTAAACCAAGCTTCAGTCTCGGGGAACATCTCAACGAACCATTCGTGAAGGACCGGGGGAAGTCTACGTCTGTCAGAAGGCGAAAGTCACGAATAATTGGGGTTTGCAGCTAGCTTACTTGGCCAGAATTTTAGTTGTGAACAAGGGCAGCTTCGAGAACGATCGATCAGCACAGATCTCGTTCAGATAGTGTCTGATGTCGTTGTACTATGGTCAAAGTCAGTAAAATAGCCTTCAGAAAACAACAGGAGATGAGCGGCTGGCTTACATTGGGCGCAATGCCTCTCTCGCGCAGCAGCTTGATGACAATCTCTCGCAATGTCCGCAGGTTGTCTACCCACTCAATGAGACCGCATTCTTCGTTGAGTGGTGTGACAGCATAGGTTTTGATGTCTGATCCAGGTTAGCTTCGCCAGTTTCATAAGAAATCAAAAAGCAAGGTGAATTACTCACACATGCGCCGCTTGCTCGACTCGACATCTCTCTTCAAAAATCTGTTGATCATGTTATTGAACTCCATCAAGCGTTGATCTTTGCGTAGATCATCCTTCGGCTTGCAAAGTGCATTGTAAATCTTCCCATCAGACCCACGCAAGCTAATTTTGCGTGGTTTTTGAAGCGAATTCAGAATCTGGGCTTCATCGAGAATGGCTAATTTCGGTCAGTTCAGCACAGATGGTTGAACTTAACAAACATACCTTCAATGGTTGTTGGATCCCGAGGGAAAGCCCTAAATCCTTTGATGTATTCGATATTCTGACTCGCAGGGAGACTTGGGATCAACATCGCCTGGAAAGGAACCACTAATCGACATGGTGCGACTTTATGATTGAAACCCAGATGACGACCGAGTTGGATTTTCGAGACCTTGTCTTCAACTGGAGCCAAGCACAGTTGAAGCAGCTCCTCGGATATCTTGGTGCCTTGAGAAATCATCCGGCGGATCTCTGCTGACGTCGCAGACCCTCCCTTTGGTTTGTTTCCATAATCCTGGCGCAATAATCAGCCTTTGAAACACCCATTTGATTGAATGAGACTTACCACAATCTTTTGCAGGCAGGTGAAGCCTCGGGATGCTCGATCTTTGTTGGAGGACTTCACGACAGCCAGAACCGTCCAAAGACCTTGCTGCGGGAAGCTATGAACAGCCTTGGCTACGATTCGTGTCAAGAGGTCATAGACTGTGCTGTTGGGGTGACAAATTCGGGCAACCACTTGGGGCAGAATGGTGAACAACTTGGATAATTAGCTATGTCGATGACGGACAATTCGAGCTGACAGGCTCACCAAAGCCGCCTGAAGTCGTTTATCAATGAACTTCTTCAGTTGCAAGTGCATCTCATCAAGACTTTTCTGTCGTTGCGCTTTTGTGTGCTTTTGGAATTCTCTAAATTGTGTCCAAATAGTGATTAGCTTTAGAATTCCAGGACAGCCAGATTGGATTGGCAATCTCTTACTCATTGTCACCTCTTTTCGGATCAAGAGGCTGTTCGACGATAGAAGCATGCTCAAGCCAAAGGGTTAGAAGCTTGGGTAATGTTTGGAAAACGTATTTGGTCCCATATGTTAATGAGCGGAGATAGTTGTCAATGACAAGTTTTGTGGCTTCACCACTCAGACTGGAAAACGAGGTTAGTTCAAGGCGAGAGAATAAACATAACCCTGGGCAACTGACTAAATCTGGGCTTCCTTCCCCATGGGTTTGGCCTTTTCAGACTCCAATATCTTGTTGTAATGCTTTCCAAGGTAGTAGTGCGCTCTCTCCCACCTAATAAGTAATTAGCACCCAGACAGGCCAAATGGCGATGATTTCACTGACTTTGGATATAGCTTGATGGCCTCTCGGTATCTCTGCACGATGGCCTGTGAGTGTGTCTGGCCTGCTCTGTCTGTCCATTTAGCCAGCATCAAATGCGCCTAGATGGGTTGGGATTGGTTAGTATGCGGTGACAAAAGATCATTCTCCATGGGGAGGACGTACGAGAGCAGTGGACTCATTCTGGTGCTGCCCGCGACCCGAGAGGAATGACATGGCTTCGACGTCAACCGAAGAGGTGGTTGGGCCGGTTTCGTTGGCAGAAATCGCACTCTCAAGCGTTTGTATTGCCTTTCGATGATGTCCATCTTTCCAGAGGAGCCTTGCGTGTTCGATTGTGGCGGATCGGTCTTTCAACCGCGCAGCGTTGAGCATCGAGTGATATGCTTGGCTACTAAAGTTGCCTTTCCTCGAAAGACGGGCACTGACGAGCCATGCAGCTGATATGTCAGAATCGGCAAAATCTCCTCTGTATTGGATGGTTAGCAGTGTCTCCAAAAGCCCGATGAGCTACTCACGACAATTCCATTGTGGCTCTCCTCAATCCTAGAAGATACTGCTTGTCAGTGAGATACCCTCCCAGAACATCCAGGCGTCTATCTAGCGTAGAGAGCAGGCTTGGGTGTGAAGAAGCCGACTCTGCTTTTGCAATTGATTCAACTTCCGACAGAGCATGTAAACGGAGCATATCATCATGGCACGATTGGAGTGATGCAGCTGAATTTGTGGTCAGTGACCGGGCGACGCTCAGTCGGAGTTCGTTGATTTTGTCGGTAAATGCTCCGATTTGCTTCCTTCGCAGAGCGTCAAGAGCTGATCCTATCCCAACATTGAACTCCTCGGTACCCTGCTTGGCACAAAGGTCAAGATAGCCTTCGAGCTTATCCCATCTGCTCATTATCCATGACGATTCAACCGCAAAAGGAAGGAAACGCGAGGCCGACAACTCATTCTCCTTGAGAACCTCAAATCGGGTGAGGATAGCATCTAGAGAAATACTTTTGTGAGCAACAAAAGAGGGCTTTCATATCTCCATGTAACCATAAGTCTCACCTTGTTGGCCGGATTCCTTCAGGCAAGTGACGAGGTTCCATTGTGCATCAATGTTCTCAGGCTCCTTCTCAAGTTGCAATTCATACCAACTCTGCGCAGTTGCCCATCTCCCTGCTTTGCGGTGCTCAAGGATCTGCTGGTCAATGTCCAAGGCGGACAAGTAGCTTGAAATGCCCTCGATGCCGTCAGGTTCATCAATCTGGCTATAGATGTCCTGCAGTCTCTGATACATGGGCTCAAGGCTGGTTTGCTCCTCTGCCTCTGTGTGGGCCTTGGATTTTCGAATGTACTGTTCCCAATGAAAAAGTGCTTTGGAAAATGACTTGCACTCAACGGCTCGTTTGGAGATGACCTCCGGTGGGATTGAAGAGAGGACGCTCTCTACTGATTTGATCTGCGAAGAGTATTTGTCAATGAGAGCGTCGCGGCTGAGATCTTTATATGATCTACTCGAGTGGTTGGAGCCGTGGTTTAGACCATTAAGGTGCTTCTTCTTCCCTTGCAGCCATCGGGATAAGTAGTCCAAAACTTCGAAAACACTCTGATCAATCCATGGTCAGTATTTGAATTCCCAGTAGTAAAATGATCTCTCACCTGGCTGCTGCTTAAGATTGCCTCACGAGAATTGTTATTCGTCTCAGTGATGGGATGCGAAAGCACACTCATCAATTCATTTTGCAAATCCTGTTGCTCTTGCTCAGTTCCTCCCACAATGCGGTTCAAGACAGCAAATGGCAGAAGGAACGAGGAGATGGAAATATCTTGACCTTTCACCACACGACTTGAGATAGAGAAGACCATTTTGGCATTGTCTCCGTTGCCGGTTTGAAGGAGATCCTGCACCAGCGTGCGGAGCCATTCACTGTGTGTCATATTCGGTGAAAACAAAGGATACTTAACTTCAGCATGGTTGGTTACAACAGTGACGGTGTAGGTGGATGTGAGAAATGGTGTGAGGGTATTTCGAACACTTTCCGGAAGCTCCATCCAACGTTGATGCTTTTCGTCTCCTTGTAAATCGCGAGAGCGTTGCGTCAAGAGCGCATTCAACTTGCAAAATTTGAGCAAACCCTGCATGGCCCATGCTAAAAACCCTTGAGCCCTAGTGTTGGAGGCAGACAAGAACGCTTCGACCAATACATGCTGGAGGAAGAACAGAATGAATGCAACTGTTTCTTCCATTCGGTCAAAGTTGGACAAGACAAGTATGTCTTTCTTCTCTTTGATCGTCTCCACTCTGTTTGGATCAAGGCAACCAACCAAACCCAAGCACCGAGCCGAGAGCAAAGTGATGCCGTCAGAGTTGGTGCTGAATTTGACGCAGCAATCTAACAATGATCTCGTTAGCTGCGCAATCACCGGGTCTGGTTGTTCACTTAGAACAGAGTCATGGAGGAACTCTTCATTTGCCGACAGGAAAGGCGCGAGTTCCTTTAATGCTTGTTCGACAACGGTAGAGTTTTCGCTTTGGCACCGACGAATGAGTGCTAGAAACTGGCTTCGCACATCCATCTGCGCCCTCAATTCGTTGATCTTGGCTTCAAAGGGGGCCAGCTCGGGAATTGACGCAAGAGAAGGCATTGTGTTGAAGGTGTCTCGCACAAGCGTGGAGTGATTCGTCAGGATGTGATCGATAAGTTCAAATGCACGCTCTCTGCTCTCCCCGGTCAGATTGTCCCAATATCTGATCACAATTGCCAGGGTTTGATCGATCATAGGCTCGAGGTCTTCTTCGCTAAGGGAGCTAATTAGTGTCTTCCATGCAGAAAATGCATAGTCACAGAGTTCCTCAATGTCCAAGGCAGACCGAAGACAAGCACAAACTTGGGGTAATGCGCTGCTAACATGCCCTTGGGCAATGTTGATCATTTCTTCGATAGCCTTGATATTTCTTCTTTTCTCCGCTAGTGTTTGTCTCACTTGGAAGTCGTTGATAGCATTTGCGAACTGTGTGATGATGCCGAGGACATGCTCTTCTATGAACTGGCTAAGGTCCGCTTTCTTCGATGCGCTGCCATGGGATATCTTTCGCGGAACAAATGTGGCCAATCGATGAAGAGCTTGACTGAATTTCTCTTTCGTTTGCTCGGCTGCATCACCAAGACTCTTCAGAAGGTCACAGGCAATGAGAATCGGCTCGATCCTGACCAATTCCGCTAAAGATCGACCCTTGAATAGGGGGTCAATCTCTGCTAGGAGAGACATGATCATAGCTTCAGGGTTATCTGATTGCTGGGACAGAAGAAATGCAAGAATTGCAGCTAGATTGTTCTTTTCCGAGCAGACGTCAAATGCAGACTCGCCCTCGTTGCGACTGGCCCCAATTCTACAGATAATGTCTCGCTTTCGTGTCAGCACCAAGTACGGCAGAACATGAATTTCTGTCAACCGGAGGAAGCCATCGACTTTCATGCCTAGCAAATCACATAGCTGCTCGGCCATATGTGGGCGGGATTGGAGGTTCTTGACGACAGTGACAGATAAGGTTCTCCAGTAAGGACGAAAGAGGCCAGCCGGCGTCAGGGAGAATTGTTGAGCTAGTTTGGATAACTAGATGGAACGTAAGTTGTTGTCTCTTGATAGTTGAAGTAATGGGCAAAGCAACGGTGAAGCTCACCTCATTATATGCAACTGCGCAAATGTAGGGATTTGGATGACCGAGGTACTCCAAAAGCCGTAGAAGAATGATGTTCTTCTCTTCATCTTCCGAGACTCTAGATATGCATGTGTGAGATATAGGACAAATGTGAGAGATGGGTCGGAAGCATACAATGCTAAACCACAAAGCGTCATGATACAAGCTTCTTGCAAAGGTGTGTCATCTTTGCCAGAGAGGTTTCTGAGCCATTCGAGGACAACGACAAAATTAGCTCGACGGATGTCCATCGGCAGGTCTGGCTTCACAAAAGCCACCACAGAATATCTGGAGAAAAGTCAATATTCCAAGGATCTTAATATACTGGGCTATGCAATATACCCGGTTGCAATGCGCAATTCTCTGATGGAGCTTCGGAGAGAATGGAGACAGAATTCGCCCGCCGCTGAGGTTGAGATATGCATTTGACTTGAGCTCGGAGCATGCATCAAAATCCTTCTCAGTGCTACCATGGCGGATATTCGTGGGCCCGGACTGCGTGTCAGCCTAGGTAAAATGAAATTGAACAGGGACCAGATATCCTCAAAAATGAGATCTTGCCCTTGACCAGAGTGATCATGCATGGGTTGTTCGACGTCACACGTTTGACAAATAAGCGTGTCTCGCACTATGACTTCAGATGAGTGCTCCATAAGCTTCCCAGCTGCTGCACACGCTATTCTCCCTAATATATCCAAAATCTCGTTCTTCTGGGGGTCTGAAAGATTCTCGTACGAGTTCCTTCATGGGCGAATCAGTGAGTCCTTCCACAAGAGCTAGAATTTGCATACTTACTGGATTGAGATGTACAGTTCGGCCACAGTCTCGCCAGTGTCAGTTTGAAGGACATGAGACACTTTTTCTACTAGTGTCTTGAATAAATCATGGTCAGTTGGCTCATCCGGGATGCCGGGAAGACATAATCGCTTCGAGGCTCTGGTCTCCTGTGGTTCCACCTGGTCAGAGACCCTGGCCTTCTGGGATCTTAGCGCTGGGTTCTCAGAATGTTCCTCTGTTTGCTTGTCGGGTGAACCGGGTGTTATCACCGGTCCTTCCTTTGAAAGCTGGGTGTGTAAATTTTGGAGAGACGTCTGATCCATTGTCAGTTATATCAATATTGTTGCATTGGACATTATATACCTGAAGGCTCGGCTCGAGGGCCTGGAAGACAGAATGCCCATCCTTAACCTCTGTCAGGGCTGGGAGGAGAGTTTCCCTCAGCTGTGGCACTAATGAGCCTGAACTTTGAGTAATCTGTAATAGATCATCCAGGAGGCAGCTCAGCATAGCCTGGGTAGAAGGCAATCGATCAATTCCGTCAAGATCCAGAAATCCACATAAGCACTGTGACCATGCAGAAATCAAGCTCATATTTGAAAGGAGGCCCGAGCACGTCGATTCTGGAGCATTACAGCGGCGTAGATGTCTCAGATATTGCAACAGCACACTTTCCTCCTCGGGGGTGATTTGTGTCCTCGCCATTTGCAGCCAGTCGATGATGACCCGCCGGAGGCGATGGAATCCATTGAGCATCCAGGAGAAGTTTTGGCGAACGATGAAGTCCTGATGTTTCGCACGAGGTTGCATCTCGCCCCTAGGATTGAATGCATCTAATAAACTGCATGCTAGAGACGATGTCTGCACAAATCCCCCGAGAGCTATTGTCTGTTTGAATAGCCCGGAGGGTATATTGAGGTTTTCGGCATCTTGCACCAGTGATCCACACGCTGAGGGCAGTGACAAAACTTTGGGTCGTTCATCCCAGGAACTCCTCTTTTGTAAAGTTTCAAGGGACACCAGAATATCTGTAAGGCCATCAGTCTTATACTCTTGGTTGGGTGGGCAATGATCAACAAACCTGATGTGCAGGCGCGCAGAAAGGCAGAAGTGGCATAACTTGCCGGAAGTGGACGGGCCTGCTTGAATTGAATGTACGCTAGACTTGCCCAGATCAGTTGAATCTTTTCTCGCACGTACTCGGAGGTCCAGGTGTTTGCCAGTCTGATCAGTCGAAGAATCAACCATGTGTACAGAGGAGCCTGTACATCCTCGGCGAAGATCAATGGATCACAGGGTTCCCACAAAGCTTGTGGGGCTTTTTCGATACTGGCCCGAATGATGTCCAAGCAGTCCAGGACTTGCCCTTGCAAATCCGATTCTGGGGCGTCCCCATGGGGCCTGATTTCCAACCCCGCCTTGAGGACAATGCAAATGAGTTTGTTGACATCCGTGACGTCCTCTTCCACTCTTAGTTGATTCTGTGTCTCGCCCAGAAGTTCCTGGCGTAATTGCGCAAAAGTTTCGCGACTTATAGATTCATGCCCCTGCGTTGCCAAACGCGGTGCGAGATGGGTGGCAAGGATCGACGAGGCTGGTTCTCTCCAACCTGTCTCAGCTTCATTCTCTCGATCCATTGCCATGGCCAGACATTGTTTGAAGCTCCGTTGAAGCTCTGTTCGAGAGAGGTTGGGGGATGCAGATACGGGTTGATATGTCACTAGACACCTGAGGCAGAGTATTTGCCTCAGGAATAAACCTTTATACTTCGAACATTCAGTACTTCTGAAAGAGATGTATACATGTATGTATTCCGACCTATAGAGAGTATGGAGAATATGGAATTCGAGCATTGATCACTCGTGTGTACTCATAGTTCGTAATCTCATAATGCCTGACAATTGACCATAATCCGAGTCAATGGGCAATGGGCAATAGTCAATGATCAATACATAGTCAATAGTCAACAGTGAGTAGTCAATATGAATTAATACCAGACTCAATACAGACTACAAGTGTTGGAACAAAGAGACTTAGGGGGGCTGGGGAGAATGTCGCATTTAGTTGTGTTTTGGCTTGGCACTTTTTTTTCGCGTCACTTTTCCCTGCGCTTAGCCCCGAAACATTCCTCACCATCTTCCTCATTCCTGCCACTCAAAATGCCTCCCAAGGCTGCATCCAAGTCTGCTGCGACAGCAGCTAGCGAAAGGACCTCGCGAGTCCGAAGCTCCAAAGTCACTGCCGAAAAGAAGCAACCGGAAAAGAAGCAACCCGCGAAACCCGCGACAACAAAACCCGTCAAGACCGCGAAAACGGTGAAGACAACAAAAGCAAAGGCTGAGAAGCCCAAGGTCGAGAAGAAAGAGAAGGCCGCAAAGCCAACCAAGATGGCCACTACGGTCAAAGCGAAATCGGCTGCTGCGACAAAGAAGCGCAAAGCTGACGACGAGGAGGAGAAGCCCCGAGAGACCAAACGCTCCCGGGTCATTGCGCAACCCCGGAAGACCAAGGCCCCCGCGCCGCCCAAGGCAAAGCCAGCCAAGGTTGTCATTAATGAGGCCCCAACAACGAAACTGAACGTCTTCGTCTGTGGTGAGGGTAGCTCTGGAGAGCTGGGTCTGGGAACAGCCAAGAACGTGATCGATGTCAAGCGCCCCCGTTTGAACAAGCTTCTGTCACCCGAGGAAGTCGGTGTCGTGCAGGTTGCCGTTGGTGGTATGCACTGTGTCGCCTTGACCCACGACAACAAGATCTTCACCTGGGGTGTCAACGACCAAGGCGCGCTTGGAAGAGATACCAACTGGGATGGTGGTTACAAGGATATCGATGGGGGTAGCGACTCTGATTCAGAGGACGAGGATAGCGGATTGAATCCTTTGGAATCGACTCCTACCTCCATCCCCACTGAGGCTTTCCCCGAGGACACCGTGTTCGTCGAGGTCGTTGCCGCCGACAGCTCAAGCTTCGCCCTTACCGATGACGGTCTGGTCTATGGATGGGGTACCTTCCGAGTAAGTCAAAGAGAGTGATGGGGTGAAAACGATTCAATTGCAGTTGGAACATAGACTAATTTGCTGGGACAGAGCAACGATGGAATTCTTGGATTCGACGCCCACAACCTGGTTCAAAAGACCCCGCTGCTCATCTCCAGCCTCAAGAAGATCAAACACCTGGCCTGTGGAGCCAACCACATCCTTGCATTGAACGACAAAGGCCGTGTCTACTCGTGGGGATCTGGACAACAGAACCAGTTGGGCCGTCGCATCGTGGAGCGCAACCGATTGAACGGCCTCCAGCCCCGCGAGTTCGGTCTTCCCAAGGACATCGTCTGTATTGGCAGTGGCCAGTACCACTCATTTGCCGTCCACTCCTCGGGCAAGGTCTTCGCTTGGGGTTTGAACAGTTTCGGTGCCACTGCCCTTCGCGAGGGTGCCGGTGACGACGAAGCTGCCATTGTTCACCCCCTCGAGGTCGAGTCACTCACTGGCCGAGGTATCACTCAAATCGACGGTGGATCTCACCACTCTATTGCAGTTGCTCAGGATGGTGAGTGCCTGGTTTGGGGTCGTCTCGACGGCTTCCAGAGCGGTTTGAAAATTGACACCATCCCTGACGACGCTGTCATCAAGGATGAGCGTGACCGCCCCCGTATCCTGATCACTCCTACTGTTCTTCCCAACTTCAAGGCAAAGGTTGTTGCAGCTGCTTCGGATCACTGTGTTGCTATCGATGTTGACGGCCGCCCCTGGTCTTGGGGATTCTCTGCCACCTACCAAACCGGACAAGGCACCCAAGATGACATTGAGGTGGCTACCGCCATCGACAACACTGCCACTCGTGGAAAGAAACTGAACTGGGCTGGTGCTGGCGGTCAGTTCTCCGTGTTCACGGAACCTGCTAGCTTGTGAATATGTTGATCATGGACCATTCCTGTACTCTAGAACCTAATGTCTCCTATGTCCCCTTCTGCTTCGCGTTGGCTACTTTACAGGATCCTGAATCACAGTTTCGATGTTCTCTTGACGCAATGTTCGGAATTTCCTCATCTCAGCGGGTTGATATTGCAGTGTTAGACGATCCCGTCTATTATTAATAGCCTTGAAATATCCCATTTTCCTCAATCCCAGTACCCAATTTAATACATAGAACGCCTATTTAAATCTGCGAGGGTCCCAGCCTTGACCCAAGTTAATCAACATTGCTGGAAGTACCGTACATGCGATCATTTACATGCCCAACTCTTTCATCGCTTCATAATCAGCTTCAAAATCTTCATCCAGCTGAGGTTCTCGCTGAGATGTTGACGTGTTGGGGGGTATCATCATTGACTCTTCTTCCCTGAGGAGATCATCCAGATCATCTTCTTCGGGTTCAGGGTGACTAGTGGTGGGTTGTGCAATACCATTATCTGGCATGAATAGATCTTCTGTGGATCCCTCCTGGCCTGGAGTATTTGAAGATGATGGCTCCTTGGATTTGGCCGGGGTTTTCTGGACACGGGCGTTCTCAAGTTCTTCTCGGGTGACTCCAGAGTCCCGAGCAAGTCTCGGCTTTTCTTCCTCTATCCACTCTCGACGCATTACTTGAATTCGCTTTGAGTGTCCCAGCTTCTCAATGATGGATAGACCGTCTGCAAACTTGGCGCGGGGGTATAGATCGTCAAGCCATAGTTGGTAGAAATTGAGAAGGCGGGTGGCGTCCGAGAACTATCAATCGCATGTCAGCCCTGATTTATCTTCTTCTCTCCAGTCATGTAGAGTTTGGAGAACAACCCACCTCGTGCCCTTTGCCTTTGAACCTTAGCTTCCGCTTCGCAGATTGCCGCAGCTTTGGGATGCCTGGTTGTGAGAGGAGTCTGGCGAGTTCATTAGCCACTATTTCCACGGCGCAATTTCTGCAGTTGCTAGTCCACTTACCGCGCTTCGTCTAGTTTGGCGACCGGTTGTCGTTTCTTAGTGACTTTAACTTCATCATCCAGGCCCAGACCAAGAGCAGAATCCCCAGTCCCCGCTGTATTTGTGTTGTTTTCAGAGACATTCTTGGCTGGCACTACCTCGTCTAAGCCGACGTCATAATTGAAGAGGTCGTCCAGATCAAGTGCAGTGGGTGAGCCTCCCTCCGACATGTTCGCGTTCGCGTTCAGTGGTTGCTCGTGATATCGATGGTCCGGGAATAGGGTCGAATTGGAGTAAGTGTTTACTGAGGGATCAGCGAGGGCCCAGCAATTGATTTGTATAGTCAGGATAAAGTCTGTGAAGTGCGAAGAACGGAAGTCCTATACGGAGGACTCCCATCGCAAATCGGTCAATCAGATGCCCGCCTTGACGCGTGACGCGAGTAGCCTGTTATCTGCGCTCTGATTGGTCGACCCACCTCCTCTCCGCCTTTCAGGTGCTAAGCCCAAAGCGGTTAGTGTCATAACCTCTCAACTCCCAGAACTTCAACTCTGAGGATCCCGCTGCACACCACCCACTCTCAAAATAATCATGGCAACAGACACCAAGACGGCCATTGTGCCCCCTAAGCGGGCTAGCACCGACTACCCAGTATGACCTATTCCGCATTCCTCCGCTTTTTGGGGCGCATTGGCGATCTCCTGCTAACACACATCCCACAGTTGATCGATTCCGACCCGTATGACCTACCCCGGATTTCTCCCATTTGACCAAAGCTCACCTCGTTCCCAGTCACTTGAAGCGGGTATTTGGATATGCCCGACCCTCCGATTGGGCCGTTGCCGGCGGCATGGCCTCCGTCGCTCCCATTTCCTTCTGGGTGATGGAAAGAGCCAGCCCGTCGCATGTCGGCCGTGGTGGCTTTGCCCCCGTCATGCGCCTTGCTACCGCCGTCGGTTTGCTTGGTGGTCTTCACGTTCTATACCAGCGCTCTTGCCGTAAGCCCGTTCCTTTTGCCGCAATGCCTCGGATAGAACTCACACCTTTACAGAGCGCTTTTACGGTTTCACCGAGAACAACAGAGAGGTTCAGCGGGACACACGCGAGATGGTTGACAAGGTCAAGAAGGGCGAGCCTCTGTATGGCAAATCCCAGATGTCCGAGTACCTGCAGGGCATGGCTGCCCGTAACTCCCGGTACTCCGAGCTCTTCATCCATGTCATCCCCTGGTTCAACCTTGTCAACCACGACCAGGTACTTGATCCTCCGATCCCTGTATGAAATTTATACTAATTCTTCTTCAGCACGGTGTCGACACGGCCAAGTACTATCAACAAGCCGAGCGAGAGTTGGAGGCAGAGCGAACTGGCTCCTCATGAGTTCTGGAACCATTCGCCAGAAAGAAATCTCAGCATGATGGAGAGCTTTTTTGATTCCTGCAGATTTGTACACATATCCAATTTCGTTTATGTGTTTTGGGGCGCAAGTGCGATTTACAATACAGATTCCCATTCTGAACAAACTACCTTTTTGCCCAGTACACGAGAGGTCTTTTTTAAAAGAAAGACAAGACAAAAAGAATATGCCGCACCCTGATAATGCTCCAGCCGTCATAACACCATTGACATCGTATATTCACCATTCCGGCTCTTGGTCGTCATCGAATCTTGTGTTCAGCTCGCGGTTCTTTTTCGGTCTGGGGTTAGGTGCTGGCATGAAGTCAGCGAGGGTACTTGAGTATCGGGTTGGAGCCTCCGGGATTACCTTTTTCGTTCTCCTGGATATAGAACCGGCGCAGTAGCATGATGGCTTCCTTCTCGAACAGCCCACCGTAGACAGGATATTTGGGATCAATTGACGAACTATATCCGATCAGCCCATATTCCTCTATGACTCTGGGGATAATGCTCACTCGGAATGTAAGGAGAGAACCCCTCCGGTTCCTCCAAACCGATCGTTGGCCGCGCCGAAGTACACACTCCGTATGCGGTATTGCTTCAATGCAGAGGCACACATCACACAGGGCTCCACGGTGACATAGAGATCAGTGGACTGGAGTGCCGACCTTGGGTAGCTCTGCAGCATCTGTGCAATTGCGATAAATTCGGCATGTTTCGTTCCCTTGGAAGGGTTAGCTGGATCACCTAGTGGACCTATACACCCACATTCATAGATCTATTGGTGTCGTTCATGCCCACGCCGACGATCTGGTCATCGTATACCAGCACACAGCCCACTGGGGTTTCATTTAATTCAATCGCTTTCTCGCCCTACGAGGATAAGCTATAAGATCTAGCATCAACAGCTGGGAGCATACCATCAACAACGCTTGTTTCATAAAATAACCATGTCGTGATTCTTCAGCCGTAGGGTCATCCCTAAAGATCATATTGGATGACATGTTCGTCTAAAGTTGTGAAGATATACTTCCAAGCTGAAGTATCAGAGAGGTGGCCGAATTTTCAAGGCGGTGGATCTGGCTCGGGAGTGGGATATCTACAGTTTACATACTTAAGTACTATGCAGCCGTTGTATATATATTGTAATATAGATCTATAGACGTTGGAGGAATCTACTTAAGTATACTTAAGTAATGAACAGTAAAAGTAGAAACTTAAATGGTTACAATTCATAGATCATGAACTCATGTTATACATACACTCATTATACATCTCTAGTCTTCTCGGATCTTCCCACACATAATGACATTCTGCCCCAAAGGCATCCATTTGACATCGCGAGGGTTCAAGGCAGCATTGGGGGTGCCCCCCGGGTCTTGTTTCGAGTCTGGACTGACATTCACGCCGCCACGCCCCAGATATGTGGGTGCAACTGTCACAACGATGGAGTCGATGAAGCTGGTATACTCGGGATTCAACAGCTCACTCAACACCGTCCCGCCGCCCTCGATCATGACGCTCTTGATACCCTCGGACGCCAGAGCCCGGAACACCGCCTCCCAACGCAGGCGCCAGTGCTGATTATATTCCACAATGCGGAGGAAGTCGCCTCCATACCCTTTGAGCATCATGAGGGTCTGGGGGTTGATCTGAGCTCCTGGGGACACTACCACCCAGGGGGCTTTGCCCTTGCCGTCGACGGCAGTGCGTAACATCCGACATTCGGGGTGAACTGGCCATCGTCCCGTGGGATCAATGATCACCGGTCTGGGTTGCCACATTCTTCCCAGCCCGCCAAATCCACCAGCTCCCTCGAGGCGGCAATTCAAGCCAGGGTTGTCCGCCAGCACCGTTCCCACCCCAACGAGGATGGCATCGTGTCGGGAGCGAAGATAGTGCGTCATTAGCTTGGCCTCGGGTCCGGATAACACCGTTTGCATCCCAGGTTGAAGGGAGATCTTGGAATCCATCGATGATGCATATGATAAAGTGACATGCGGGAATTCCCGACGCTCGGAGTGATTGGGGAGATATGGTTGTAAGAAGTCCAGTGAGAACTGAGGGAAGAAGAGGGTGTCGGGCGGCAAAGAAAGGGAAGCAGAGGACGTTGGTTTCGTTGAAGGTACTTCGTTAACACCGTCAGTGCTTTGACTCTTGACAATCCCATGTCCCTTTTGGTATTCGTAACCTTCATGCGCCACCAAGTTCACCTCTGGATTTTGAATCCGCCATTTGGCAGAGACGTTGCGGACATCAGTCACGGTGAAGAAACGTCCGCCAGCCTCCCCTAGCTTATCCGGCTCTTCCTGGAATTTGGTATAAATGGACGAAGGGAGGTATCCCTTGACGGATTCTTTCCGCGCATATTCCATAAGTCCTGAGTTTCGTTTGACCCGGTCGATATAGTCGAGATCATGTGAATGAAGGCTGCAGCTTCCCGGTGTCCGAGCGATAGTGACAGCCGAGTATGCACCTTCGAATCGAACAATCTTGATTTGAAAATTGCAAATGCCCCCCTCCCGCACGCGCTTCTTTCGAGGGCGCTTCCCTGCCGGCAACGGGCGCGTTTCAGACGTGCGGTGGGTGGGACGCCGTAAACGACACATGTAGTAGTCTGTAGTGCAATGGCCCTCTTTACTCGCATTGGATCTTTGCTTGACCCAAACGTTGTCGATAAACGGCCAGTATGTCTCGAACTCATCCATGCTGATTTCTATCGGGTCCTTGCACTCGAACAAGATCTTTCGTATGCGCGCGAGATTGGGCGGGTTGTTGAAGAGGCTTGGTTTTGTCGAGCCTGAGGGTGCAGGCGCATTGCCCTGCTGCCCTGGATTGGATTGCGTCGCATCTTGCTCCTCATTCTGTAAGGCTTGTTTGTCCAGGGCGCCGGACAGGTTGATCAGGGTGGTAGTTTCCGGAGGGTCGCGTATTGTTTCCGTGTCCAACACGTCTCGAGATTGTATTGCAAGCCGAGGGGATTCCTCGCTATCAGAAGCCCCTGCACTCGAGATGGAGGCGCCAGAGGCATTCTCCATGCTGCGAACTGAGATCTCTCCCTAGGTGTAGCTAGTTAGCTAGTGTGGTTGGAGAGATGTGACAGAGCAATTTCAGGTGGGGCTGGCAATTATATCGCCGAGGTACTTCAATACATCAACTTCGCTTTAAGCAATAACCCTGCAATATATACCCTACTCTACTCCATGCCTACATTACTTCATGAATAATACTATCATATCTCAGCTTTGCATTATGGAATAACAGTTCTCAAAATCGTACTCTAATACGCCCCAATCTCGGCTCCTGCACGAGCCAGAGTCTCATACACCCGTGGAGGCAACTTGTACTTGACCATACCCGAGAAGACCATTAAATCCTTGGCCATGACCAGGAATGCATCGGCCATGCCTTGACGAACTTCACTGTCGTACAGGCCAGAAGTTCGCTTCTGGCGTTCGAAGCCAATGCAGGTGATGCTCCACATAATGACATGCCCGATGTTGCGTGAAATGATAGCAGGCAGGGACGAGAATGACTGGGCGATGCTTCGAATGTGTGAGACGGAGCCCCGGGCCTGGAGGGGGAGAACATTCAGAGCGTTGATGGCCTAGGAGTTCGGTTAGTATGGATTCTCTTATATCGAACACGGAAGTACTCACGTCAAGGGCTGGTGCCCATCTGCCGGCTTCAACCTGGGTCTTGGCTTCCATCATGCGGAGCAACAGTCCACATGCCTCACGGTTGAGGGGTTTAACCTTGCCATAGTACATCTCGTTCGAGTCGTAAAGGCTGATCATGTTCTTAGCAAGAACACCCGGGTCATCCACGGAAGTCAAGCTAAGACTGCTTCCCTCCACTGCATCTGCCACGTCGTCTCGGGGACGCAAAGGCTGCAGCTTCGGTAAAGCACCACCTAATTCAATTGCGACGGCATCTGACAAGGCACGGTTAATGATATCAATGACCTTATCGTAGTCCTCGGCCAGATGGTAGAGAAGCACAGCATCGGCAATTAACCCCTTATCATCTGCCACGGCAGCGGCCTGGACTGTGATGGTCTGGAGGAATTCTGCTTGGTCCACCAATTTGATCAGATCCAGACGCTTCTCAATAGCGCCCTTCAAGCGGGTACCATCAGCACGAATATCACCAAGCAATTTAGCAAAGTCTCTGGTTTCCAAGATGAACTCCCGCAGAGCCTCGTGACAAACAGATGCTTGTGACTTGCCCAGAGCACCCGGGAGGTCGGCATTCAGACAGATCAGCGTGAAGTAGTCAATGGCGGCTTCAACAAATCCGGTACGGAACTCTCGGGTGTATTGGGTCAACAGATAGCCGAAGTTGATCTGAGGATATTGTTTGACAGTGAATGACACTAGAGCCGCGGGGAAGTTGTTAGCAAAATCAGTCATAAGTGGAAAAGGCTCGTGCGGTGGGTAATGCTTACGGATTTCTTCACCAGAGGTATAAAAGTCGGACACGCGGAGAAGACCGTAGTATGACAGGGCGATGGCGAAATGAACGGCGGTAACTGGTGCAAACGTGCCGAGATAGTGCACAGCTTGTTCGAACATTCCTCCTAGAATCTGAAGCAGGAAGTATGTTCCATAACCACCAGGCCCGTCGTTACCCTTGACAAAGACTTTCTGGCCAATTTCCTGAATATCGGTCTGGATGTCTTCAAGGCCGAACACGTCTCCTGCAACCTCTTCGGTGCGATCATCCTCTCTAGCAAGACTGAATTGCAACCACATCCAGTCCTCAACCGTTTGCTTAACCCCATCCAAGCGACGACGCGAGAGATCACAGCGGCCAATGATCTTGTAACATGCCATCCTGTAAGGGTCGACTGTGTTTTCAGGGGCATTTCGAGAACGCTGCTGGAACTCGCCGTTGATCTTTTGTTGGAGATCGCGGGGTAGTCGCCTGTTCTGCGCGTAGGTTGTCATGTAGGTCACGAACTTGTGATCCAGAGACCGGAATCCAGTGTCCCGACTCACATACTCTGCAGCCTCGGTTACAAAGCCGCACCGAAGGAGATAGAAGATGAGAATCCAGCAATAATCCTGGTTCACCATCTGGAGTTCTGTGCCATCAGGCACGAGGTCCTTTCTCGCAGCTTGTAGCCGGATATAGGCCCGGATCTTATTGATCACGGTTGGAATACCTCCCAGCTGTGCCTCACGCGGGTTTTTGGCAATAGCGGTTTCCACTTCATCGAAGAATGTCCTCTCCAGGAAGCTTCGTGAGCCCTCAAGGATCTGTTTCTTGAGGTCGATTGCATTGCGAGATTTTGATGATTCTTCGAGGTATTTTGCAGAATATTGACGCTCTCTGATCGCACCAGGGTCCGATGGGGTGAGAATCCGAGGATTTTCGTGCACAATTCCCACCAAGGCTTGATACGCATTGAAAAGCTGCCGGGGGGCATCACCGCCGTTTTGAACCTCGACCGATGAGAACTCGTCGAGGACAGGGTAGCATTTCCCTTGAAGTCTGGCGAGATTCAATTGCTGGACCTTTTCAGCGTACTGACCCATCTTCTCACGTTGGAATCTAGCATCAGGGGAGTGAGACAAGGCCCTGTCATTGCGCTCTGCTGGGTCTTCGAAGATCTGGCGGCTGGCCAAACCAACACCGGGTGTGCCAATGACCGACTTGTCGAGGCCAGACCGTCCAAACACACTTCTACCCCCGTGGCTTGGACCAGCACCAGATTGCCTGGGCTGTCTGGTTGATCGACCAAAGCCACCTCTGGTGGTAGCGTTCAGGCCACCAGCCCCAGTTGCGTCCTTCTGCGATAGCCCGAAATGATTAAAGATGGTTTGACGTTGCTGTTCCCAGTCCAAATCAACCTTCTCCTCTAGGAATGTGTCGAAGTCGCGGTGGGATCGGGTGAGACTCTCTGCGATCATGATCTGCCGGCCACGTTGCTGAATGCTTCGCAAGAATCGCTGATTGTCGGGATCAAAGGTGTCCACATCCTTCACAGGGGCTGCCAGAGATGCCTGGGGGTCCAGAGATTTGAGATCGCGCAATGCTCGACCCGGGGAGATACCGGACGCAGCAAGCAGATAATGGCTGTTGTTGGTACTGGAATTAGCCGTTGTCATTCAAGATTGAGAGAAGAAACCTGGAGGCACTTACGCTTTGGTGCTTTTACCATTTGGGGTGTCTTTCTGTCCACCCGAGCCCAGTTCCCTAGCCTTCCTCCGAATATCGTCCAAGCCCAATTGAAGGCTGGGCACTTCTTCGAAACTGTTGTTGTGGTTGGCTGATGACAGAGGTCTCTTCTTACCGCGCTCCAACAGGCTGTTGAAGAATGCCGGTTGTGTTGATTGGCCTGAGGTTGGTCCCTGAGTCTGTCCTAGGATCGGTGGCTGTTGCTGTGCTTGGGATTGACCGCCAAAGAGGCTTGACGGCTGTGCGCTCTGCGAAGCCGAGGTCTGTTGGCCTCCAAACAATCCTCCACCTGAAGCAGCCGGAGCCGAAGGTTGCTGGCCGCCGAACAAACCTCCAGTAGAAGTAGCCGGAGCCGAAGTTTTCTGGCCGCCGAACAAACCCCCAGTAGAAGCAGCCGGAGCCGAAGGTTGCTGGCCGCCGAACAAACCCCCGCTAGAAGCAGCCGGAGCCGAAGGTTGCTGGCCGCCGAACAAACCCCCGCTAGAAGCAGCTGGAGCCGAAGGTTGCTGGCCGCCAAAAAGACCCCCAGTAGATGCGGCGGGAGCAGCAGGCTGTTGGCCTCCAAACAAGCCCCCGGTTGACGTGGCTGGGGTCTGAGTTTGTTGCCCCCCAAACAGACCTGTCGATTGCGTGCCTTGTGTGCCTGCTCCCGAAAGACCTCCAAACCCGAGCTTAGGCTGGGTTGTCGAATTGGTTGCGCCAAACAAGCTGGATGACGGGGTGGTGGAAGGGCCTCCGAAGAGAGAGCCGGTATTGGACGTCATGATGGTTCAATGGTGTATGAGCCGGTGAGATAGGAGGGATCCGCTACCTGTGCAGTTTTAGCATAGCGTTCAAGACCAAGGGTTCAAATGCGAGTTTGAAAGAAAAGTGGATATAGCGCGCACCTCAAGCTTTTGTAAAAACAACGAACCACACGAGTGTTATTTTTCCCCCTGAGCTTCAGGTGAAAATAATGGAGCTTTGAAAGCGCCCAACTGTCAGAGTGACATACGCTCTTTGGAAAAGTGAAGGTCCGTAGGATCCAAAGTGGTCGATTGAAGCTCCATTCCAAACAATTCCTCTCGGCATCCCGGATTATCTATTGTCCACCATCGTTCATCTCCATCTTCTCTTGTCTCAGCAATTGATCTGTTATATACAATGCCGGTCTTTCAATCAAAAACATTCCGTCGCACGACTACAGAGTCCTCGACCCTCGGGGAGCGACTTGGCGCATTCTACCGGGCACGGCTAACCCGCCATCCGTTCATCCTTTTCGGGCTTCCGTTCATTAGTGTCATTGTAGCTGGGTCTTTTGCCTTGACCCCTGCCGCTGCCCTTCGCTATGAGCGCTACGATCGCAAGGTGAAACAACTCAGTCAAGATGAAGCGTTCGACCTTGGACTCAAGGGTCCCGACGGAGAGGAGGGAATCAAGCGGAATCCCCGGAGAAGAATTGTAGGGGATGAGAAGGAAGAGTACTACGTATGTCTAGACTGATGAACACTCTCCCATGCTGATGTCGCTAATCACCCGCACAGAGGCTCATGGCCAAAGATCTTGATCAATGGGAGCAGAAGCGAGTGGAGCGGTTCAAGGGTGAGCCAGATGGGCGACTATGATGCGACATGCCAAAATCGGACCGAATCTCGTTTTACCATGACCTCACCCACATGAGATCATCGCCAGGCCATGGGCACCGGTGGGGACGAAAGGATCGGAGGGGAACGCTCCTAGCCTCTATACCCATGCCCCATCTCCTCGCACCCATGCACCTTTCCACCAATGCACCCATGCGCAGAACCCGGGCCTAGAACTGACTCGGGCCTCTGCCTGTCTCAGTGGCCAGGCTTCGCATTCTCATATACTGAGTACATTCCCTTTGAATGTACGATGAGCGTTGGCTTCTTGTCTCGTCCTATCATGGCGTATCGGCGTCATCCACATGAGGTGTACTAGTCATGATCAGATGGAGTCTGCAGCCCGTGGTCTGTGAATAGTTCTAAGCATTGGGTGTACATAGATACCACATGTACCATATTACTTGTATACTTGAGAACTATGAGGTGGCTTTATTAGGTAGATATAGCCACAGTATAAAACATAGTCTATATTCCATACTAACTAATATCAAGTAGAATAACATAATATATACTATATATACATAGTATTATATAGTATTATATAGTATTATATAGTATTCAATAGTATATAAAAGTATATAAAGAAGAATAACTTGCCTATAAACACTACGTCAGAAAAACCCCGTGATCCCCACACAACGTCATAACTTTTCCTTCTCGAACGACCCAAATTTCTGTTTCTCGATTATTAATGATGACCTTGCGATACTTCTAACGTTGTTCACTCTGTATTGACTTTGAAGTACTCGATTCACTTCTTCAGACTCGTTGGATTACGTGATACCTTGAGTGAGTCTTTCCAGGTTTGATCCGATCAGATTGAGCTGATCATGACAGAATCGGGAATGACAGGCCCACGCTCACCATCATCCCCTTGGGTGCAGAATCCCCATCGCGATGGCGCACAGTCCTTCCTAACCATATCGCCGTCGGGCGCCTCCAACCTCGATCGATCGAGTCCGAATTACTTCGGCATGAGCACACACAACTCCAACCAGTCCGCAAACATGGGCCCCGTGCAGAAGAACTGGGGCCACTCGCCGCAATCTGCGCATAGTCCCAAAATACACGTCCATCCCCAGGAACTGGTGTCCGCCGGGTTGGTCAGCATGTTAAAGACAGAGCCGGAAACGAACCGGCTACGTCGGGAGTCAACATTCAGCGATTCCTTCAACGGGAAGCAAGTGAGTCCTGGGCCGAAGACTTCACCCTCGTTTCCGCTGGGAGGATTCTCGTTGGTACAACCCAGCGCCCCAAGAGGAGGCACTGGCAGGAATTCCGTCTCCACAGGTATCTCAGATCTTCCAAGTCCCTGTCATTGAGTCAGATGCTGACATTGCCTAGCGACCCTTCCCTTTCCTTGGGTCTCCCCCGAACGCTGCGCCGATTTATTAAAAGAATCCCAGTCGAATGCCATGCTCTTTGATGTTCGGCCATTCGCTCACTTTCAAAATGCCAGCATCAAAGGGTCTCTCAACTTATGCATCCCCACCACTCTACTCAAACGCCCCTCGTTTGACACTAAGAAATTACAGAGTACTTTCAGCGATGACGCTGCCAAACAGGACTTCGCCCGCTGGAGGGATTGCAAATTCATCATTGTCTACGACTCCGCATCTGCCGATTCCAAGGATGCATTGCCTCTTATGAACGTGCTCAACAAGTTTAAAGCAGAAGAATGGAAAGGCGATGGGCTGGTCTTACAGGGCGGATTCGAAGGGTTTTCGAAGCAGTTTCCACACTTGATTCAGCAATCACAGTCGCAACCGACAGGACTATCCTCCAAGCGTCCTGGGCCCATGGGAATCAACCTCCAATCCGTTGCCCCCGTCGTGGGTGGTTGTGCTTTGCCAGAATCCACGTCTGCTGCCAACCCATTCTTTGGGAATATTCGGCAAAACATGGATCTTTTGGGTGGTGTCGGACAAATTCCATTGAAACAACCAGGCCAAATGACCGAATTAAAACGAAAGCGACTTCCTCCCTGGCTACAGGACGCTTCTGATGCCAACGACAAAGGGCATATTGTCTCCGACAAATTCTTAAAATTGGAGAAGACCGAGCTCGAGCGCATGAAACAGGCTTTGACCTACGAGGGACCCTCGGCTGAAATTAATGGAAGTTCCAAAAAGTATCGTGTTGCAGGCATTGAGAAGGGCACCAAGAACCGTTATAATGATATCTATCCTTTCGACCACTCTCGCGTTCGTCTGGAAGGTATTCCATCCGGAGCCTGTGATTATGTGAACGCAAACCACATCTCGGCTGAACTCACTCACCGGAAATACATCGCCACACAGGCACCTGTTCCTGATACGTTTAATGTGAGTGCCTTATCCCCCAGCACCCACTATTTCATCACTAATCGTCGCGCAGGACTTTTGGCGGGTGGTGTGGGAACAGGACGTCCGACTTCTCGTCTCCCTCACCGCGGAAGTTGAACGGGGCCAGGTGAAGTGCGATCGCTACTGGGAGTCTGGAAACTACGGACCTTTCGAGGTGAAGGCCTATTCGGAAAAGTACATCTATATCGAATCCCACGGCCAACCCATCAATCCGAGTGCGGAGACTCTCAAGACAACGAGTGAGAAACGAGATGGGACGAACGAAAATCCGGTTATCATTGTGCGCCACTTCAGCATCCGCCATACGTCCTTCCCTTTCCAGCCACTCCGGGATATCACTCAGCTTCAATACCCTTACTGGCCTGATTTCGGGACAATTTCTCAACCGACCCACCTGCTACACTTGATTGAGCAATGCAACAAGGTTACCCGTGCCACCAGTAACCCCACTTATAACAGCAATCAACCAGAACCCAAGGGTCAACGGCCGGTGCTGGTGCATTGCAGTGCCGGCTGTGGACGCACAGGGACCTTCTGCACTGTTGATAGTGTACTCGACATGTTGAAACGACAGCGGACCCATTCCAAGGGCGAGAAAGACACAGGTCCCAATCCCACTGACAGCAATGAGTGGATTCGAAATTTGGATCTCGATTTAATTGCGAAGACCGTTGAAGATTTCCGACAACAGAGGCCCAGCATGGTACAGAACCTGAGCCAGTACGCACTTTGCTATGAGAGCGTTCTCGAGTGGCTTACGGCTCAGATGAACTAGAAGCTATTCAACCTGCTCTTTTGTTTTCGGCCAGTTGTCTCTCTTTTTTTTTATACATGATACTCCTTTTTTTCTCTTGCTTTTTCGCTATGATGATGATGAAACCGGGATACCCCTTTTCTCTGCCCTTCATTCTCCGGGCCATGGTTTTTAACATGTACAATGTCATACAGCTCGTGATTCTGCATTTCTTGGTGTTATGGACTTGGAAAAGAACGAAACAAAGAAAAAAAGGGGCAGGCGTTGCCTCTGTTTGCGTCGCTTTGCATTATATACAGCATACGACAATGTGTTGGAATTTGGTTTGAATAATATTTCTGAATTTTTTTTTTCTATCCTTGTTGGAAATTAGCTACCCAATACAGCTTCTCACTTCGACGCATAGCTCAATTCTGCTTCTCGCTACATATGATCTCCTGTCCAGATAGGTTGTTTCGTTTGCCCGGGCCACTGGAGTTGAGGTTGATATGCATCACTCCACGATCCGTGATTGCAATCAGTTCAGATTCCTTTTCAGTAAATCGCAGCTGGGAACAGACTGCTCCTAGTTGGAGGATCACAGGTCGGAGTAGAGGGGTTTCTGAGGATGAAGATGACATCCATGACGGTGGGTAGAACTCGCTTTCAGTATCAAGCAATTCGACAGGGTTCAGAGCCCAGACATAGAGGGTATTCCAATTCGCAACGGCGATTCGAGTCCCACATCGTGACGCAGCCACTTGGGATCCTTGCGAGGTTGTCGATTGCTCAAACCCGCCGAGCTGCGCCATGACCTTCCAAGTGTCAAAGCGTCTTCCCCGGTCTAGATTGAGGACATGGGTACATCGCCGGCGAGTAAACGCCTCGGATCTCAGCAGACATGCCACGGTCCAGTTCTCGACTCGATGCGTTGCCGTTCCAAACGCGAGGTACTGCCAATGACAAGAGATTCCATGGGCAAGGTCGCCCCTTTCATGGGTAGCGAAGAATGGGATGCCGATGGTGAAGGAGAGACTGAGACTTGGTGTGTGACTGGGTCTGTATTGGAACGTGACATTGCATTCGAACGTGACATTGCATTCGAACGTGACATTGCATCGATTGGCAAGATATGACCTGTCTGAGCCTCGTCGATAGATATCCCAGAGTACTCTGTAGGAGCCATGCAGAGTTTGACCCCGGCAGTGGCACAGTAGCTGGTAGCCCCGGTCATTGAATGTCAACCTCACTGCCGGCCCTAATTGGGGTCTGCCAAGATCGTATCTGCGGTAAGAAGCATCTATAGATATCAGTCAGGCTCTTATTTTGACCGGGACATCTTACGAACAGGTGATTTTGTCATCTTGCTGCATTTCCGTATCTTCATCCTCGCTCTCGTCGTCACTCGTATCGTCACTATCGCTCTCATCATCGTTCAACTCATACAGAACGACGGGGTGGTCCTCGGGATCTTGTGTATTTTGCCAGGAGATGGCAAACTTTTTCCCCATCACCGATAGTGCTAGCGGGGTGTATCCCTGGTGATCAGGGAAAGCGGACATGCGCACTGTTGTTTCTTCTGTGTCCAAGTCATGGTAGGCCAGGTAGATGCCTCCGTTGATGGCCGACTCGGCAGCTTGCTGAACAAATGGATGGTGGGGGTCCAGCTCTTGATCTGGGAATGGCTTGTGTCGATGGAGCACGTAGATGCCATGGAGTCCATCAAAGGCCGTCTGGAAGATTTCGACCTCTCCCGTGTCCTGTCCGGGGGATCTCCATTTCGCTTCTCGAATCAACTTCCCATCCTGCATCTTCACCAGATAGACTGTGCTGTCCTTTTTGAAGACCAGCAATGCCCGAGTGCTCTCTCTGGTTGACTCAAAGGCCGATGCACGATTGTCCAGGACTTTGGGGAAGCCATAGGATGTCAAGTCAGCCCGGTACTCGACCCCATCTAACAGGCTATTTGACCGGGCCTTGAGTGTGATGTAGAGATTCCTCGTAGTGAGGGTATTGAGTTCATGATCGAAAAACCCAGGAGTGTGGTACAATCGATGAAGTATGACTTCTCGGCTGTTGTGGGCGATGTCACGTAAGCGACGACATGTTCGAGCAGCCTGGAAAAAATCTGGAGTTTCACAATGCAGGAGAATGAGCTGAATGAGCTCTGTTGGTAACTGGAGCATTGTGGGCTGGAAGATGAGCGTGTTGGTTTACAGCAGAAGCACAGACACTTACAGGTCTTTAATTGAGTAGTTGAATAGTTTAGTTCAGTAGTTCAGTAGTTTAGCTGAGTAGTTTAGTAGTTTAGTACTGGTCATAGTTGACACGCCTTTTATGTTGAATTGGTTTAGAATGTTTGACTTAGTTATTCCAATCTATAAAGACTTAGACCAAGACTACAGACTACAGACTACAGTAGACATTCTCTGGATATGTCCAATCTCGCCAGTTGCCAGTCTCGTTCAATTCGGCTCTATTCAAGGTATCATCATGAACACATAGACCTCACTGCCCTTCACCACCACCACCAGACATGGTAATGAAGGTCAGAATGAGCAGAACCCACCAGTATCTGAAAATCCCATTAGTCAACCTTCCCTTCTAGGCAAATCACAGAGGGAACCACTTACTTTTGCAACAGGCTCTTCTCTTCCGGCTGTTCAGGGTTTGTACCATCTGGGCTCACCACAATCGGCCGATTCAGATGAGGCTGTGTTCCTGGCTCACCAAACACCAGTTCCACCTGGGGAGTAGTGGCAGTGGTTGACTCAGCAGAGAGGGAGACATGGTAGACTTGGTGGGCGGAATCGAGGTGGAGGCGGAAGGTTGGGTTGCCGATCAAGGAGGATGCCGAGACGAGACTGCCTACCCACTGGGTAGCAGAGGTGTAGAGGCCAATTCGCACCAGATCCTCCTTCAGGGCAGGGGGGTGGAAGGCGACGTCGGATGTCAACGAGGTCGGGTCGTAGGAGACGCGGGCAAGGAGGGAGGGATCGGAGCCCAGGGGCCAGTAGAGGATATCGGTAGCTAAGGCATTGGTGAAGGCATTGAACAGGGACAGAACGCTGAGTAGGAGAAGATATTTCATGGTGCTGTACTCCGGAGAGGGAAATGAAGTTCCAAGTTGCAGGGAGTCCGAGCTCCGACCTTTCTCACTTGGTACTGAGTACTAACACTTAGTATTTAGTATTGAGCAGACCTGGTCAGAATATATACTAAACACAATAATTATATAGAAACTGTTTATTTTTATATTCGAATTATCAGATATTTTGAGTCTACTTAACTACAAAGAATAATGGGTTCACATAGCTTAGAGCTAGATACCTAAGTATATATACTTAAGTACCTTACCTAGGTAGCTCTCGTATTCAACGCCACTCTGACCTTGTAAGGATCCTGGCTGATATTGACATTGAAGTATACTTCTATTCATGTACCTCCCTAATAATGTTCATATGGAAATATACCTCCCCCCAAGTACTTAAAATAATAGTCCCACAGATAATACCGTCTCCCGCATCTCCCCCACCATTTCTCTCCCCACCAGGTATACTGTATGTACACTCTTGACTGACACTCAATTCCAACATTCGTGAAGGCTACGTGAAAGACAACTTGAGAATGGCTTCGCTGCCCTACCGTCGCGCCTCGCTCCAGAGCTCTCGCAAAGCATCTACCGATCCGCGAGAGGATCTAGCAGTCCACCTCGACCACTACATTGGCATTGATGTCGGGACTGGCAGTGCTCGGGCCTGTATCATCGATGCCAAAGGGGACATTGTCGGATTGGCGTCCGAGAACATTGGTCTCTGGCAGCCAGAGCATGGCTACTATGTCAGTTCATCGGCGACATGCCCATACGGCCATACTGCCATACTGACCCTCCGCCCAGGAACAATCCACCTCTGATATCTGGCATTGTATCTGTGTGGCCGTCCAACGGGCCATTAGCCAGCACAATATCCACCCAGACACAGTCCGGGGTATTGGATTTGATGCCACCTGCTCCTTGTCAGTCTTTTCCAACGAGACTGATGAACCCATCTCCGTCACTGGTCCGAACTTCGATTCAGACCGCAATGTGATCCTCTGGTTGGACCATCGTCCCGTCGAGGAGGCTGAGAAGATCAATGCGACCAACCACAATCTCCTCCGCTACGTGGGCGGAAAGATGTCCATCGAGATGGAGATCCCGAAAGTACTGTGGCTGAAGAACAACATGCCCAAAGAGCTCTTTGACAAGTGTAAATTCTATGATCTCAGTGATGCTCTGACACACATTGCCACTGGCAACGAAAAGCGAAGCTTCTGCAGCGTGGTCTGCAAGCAAGGATTTGTGCCGGTCGGCGTGGACGGCAGTGTGAAAGGATGGCAGGAGGACTTCCTGCAGGACATTGGCCTGGGAGATTTGACAGAGGATAACTTCAAGCGCATGGGCGGAGTCGACGGGGTGGTGAGCCTGTCCTGAAGTGAAAAGCAACATTGTTGGCTAACGAATATGGAAAACAGAATGGCGACTACCTGAGTGCTGGTGAATTGGTGGGCACCCTCTGTGACAAGGCCGCTGCCGAGCTCGGTCTACCGGCCGGGATTGCCATTGGCAGCGGTGTCATTGATGCCTACGCGGGCTGGATTGGCACCGTAGGATCCAAGGTCGATCTAGACGCAGGTCAATCCAGCAACGATGTGCCCAAGCTCGATAAAACGGAGGCCTTTTCCCGCCTTGCCGCTGTTGCGGGAACCTCGACCTGCCATCTTGCCATGTCGCCCGATCCGGTCTTCGTGGATGGTGTCTGGGGCCCATACCGGGATACGATTCTTCCCGGATATTGGATGGCCGAGGGAGGACAATCTGCCACTGGAGAGCTGCTCAAGCATGTCATTGAGACTCATCCAGCATTCAACCAAGCCCATTCCATTGCCGAGTCTTACCATGCCAACATCTATGAGTATCTCAATGAGCATCTCAAAGAGATGGCCCATGACCAGGGTGCACCATGTGTGTCTTACCTAGGGCGACATTTCTTCTTCTATGGAGATCTCTGGGGAAACCGATCGCCCATTGCAGACCCAAACATGACAGGGTCGATTTTCGGTCTCACCAGCGACAAGACAGTCGATGGGCTTGCCATCTACTACTATGCGACTCTTGAGTTCATCGCTCTGCAGACCAAGCAGATCGTGGAAACGATGAACAAATCAGGCCATCGCATTAGCTCGGTGTTCATGTCCGGCTCCCAATGCCAGAATGACATCCTGGTCAATCTCGTGGCGTCGGCCTGTGACATGCCAGTGTTGATCCCGCGATACATCCACGCTGCCGTCTGTCATGGTGCCGCGATGCTCGGCGCAAAGGCCGCGAGTGCCGATGCCCAGGGCAACACCGAAGATCTATGGGATATCATGAACCGAATGAGTAAGCCCGGTAAAAAAGTACTGCCAACGACGGACAGCAATGAAAAGGCTTTGCTCAAGGTCAAGTACGAAGTGTTCCTGGAACAGTGCTTCAAGCAGCAGAAGTACCGAAGTATGGTGAATGAAGCCGTCGGGAGCTGGAAGTCTGCTTAGTTTCGATTCAATGTTCTCTCCAAAATGTCAACTTAGAACAATCTTTGACAATCCAACAATTATTTCTAGTACAGCGAGCAGAGCTCGGGAAATCAGATCATATCACAATATAAACACGACCAAACAGAAATCGAAGATACACCGCTATGCAAGGCAATAATGTACGACATCAGATGTCAAAGAGCACGGTGATCTAATAGGCTTTTCCACTCTGGGTTCGTCCCAGTGTGAAGAACTTCTCGCGGTTTGCGCCAACAGCCAGGGTATCAAACCGATCAACACCCATATCGTCCATGTTGACGTAGCCCGACATGTAGAAGCCGATCAGAACAACCAGATAGGTGAGAACAAGGATGGATCCCTTGAAATAGTTGCTCTTGCCTTCTCCATACACATAGGATAGCAGGAAGACACATAGAATCACGCTGATCATATCCCACTGAGGGAAGATTAAGCTGAAGATGCGAGGTTAGTCATGCCCATAGGATAAAAGGGACGATGGAATGAAAAGGAGGTATGGGTTCAGCTTACTTGAAAGAGTGGCTAGCAACTTCGGCTGCATCGAGCCCAAGACCGTATACCGCACTGAAGAGAACGACAGCGGGGACCTGTAGCAGACAAACCTGCAAGGCGTAGGCAGATCCAATCTCCATGGACAGGGCGATATTTCCGTTCATGGCAAAAGAGATAGCATTCTGTTTGAGAAGAGTCAATAAATGGCAAGAGAAAGGGGTTTCTGAGTTTGAAGAACATACCAAGAATTCGGTGGTGTTGGGAACCAAAGCGAAAAGAGTGATACCGAGGAATTTCTCGTCAATGTCGACACTCTCCAAGACAACATCAACGGTGTTGACAAGGATCTCGGCAATGACTGCGTAGAGGAGAGTTGCCCCGAGAAGAACGATAGCACTCTTACCCTTGCTCCAATTAGGTGCGTCATGTCCTCCGGATGAGGGCTCTGGAGCATTCCCAAGATCCTCAAATTCTTCGCCAGGGACCCGCGGATGTGCCACAGCTGGGCGACTGGCTTGCCGACTGGTCCCCTGGTGATGTTGAACAGCCCGGCGGCTGCGGGCCGAGTCCCGGGAAGCCTGGGCAGCATTTGTTGCCGCAAGTTCCGCAAAGTAGCGCACTGTGCGTTCGCGATCCTCTGCGCTCATGTGGCGAAGTGCATCAGGCAAAGAGTCCTCATCGTCGCCGACGACAGAACGCGGTGGTACCACATGCGGGGTATTGTGTGCAGAGTCTGCGGTGTTATCGCCTTGCGCTTGTTCAGAGGAGCGAATGTTATCCAAGCCAAACCGCTTCAAGTTGGCAGCATATGTTTTCTTAAAAACCGGATGATCCTGGATCGGCTCCTTGTGCACTGAAGCCGCACCAGAGGCTTCAGGTTGACCATTTGAGAACAATAGGTGCCTAGGCTCAGCTGCATCGAAAGCGTACGAATCCTGGAGATTCTGAGCTTGGGCATGGGCTTGCTGTTTCTTTTCTTCCACTTCCGATGCCCAAATCAGAGCAGCATGGGTTCTCAGAGTGAACCATAGACCGATTCCATATGAGAAGAATAACAAGACGGCACAGAACCACGCATATGGTTGCACTGCTTTGAGGAAGAATTGGTCATTAACAGCCGCCGTTTGGGAGAAGTAGCAACGACGACAGTCTCGACTTTCCGAATCGAGCGAGTCAGCACAAGAGTGACAATTCAGTTCATGCTGCAAGATGGTTAGCTGACGTTCCTCCAGTCGAACAAAGAGGCGGGGTGGAACTTACACTGCCATAAACTTGATAAAAGAGGGTAGGACCGAAGGCAGCAATAACTGCAAACAGAAGCATTGTAGAGGTCACACCGGCTGATCTCACATTGAACCGTTGGGTCTTGCGTGCCAGAGCGCCAAAGCACATGGATAGACCAGGGAGGAACAGAATACCCACGAAGATACTGCCGATGATACTTCCTTCAACGAGTCCGGCCTTGCCCTCGGTCAAGGCAACACAATAGAGGTATACCTCAACAACGGTTGAGAAGAAAGCGTTGATGGCAGCACCCAAGCCCATTGAAGATTGAGCGGAGATTGAAGCAACAGCCTGTCCAATGAAATAAGCTAGAGGAATGATAGACAGCAAAGCGAGGGTGAAAATCAATCCGGGATGGGTGACCCAGTTCTTCATACCCAGCATTCCGGCCAGAATGAAATAGTCAGCAATCACAAACACGACCACACCCAGAAGATTGATCAAGAAGATGTTTGTTCCATCAACCGTGTACTTCCAATACCTCGTCCCCGCAGCTCGGTAGGTGCAGAGAAGAATGGAGGACGAGGATGTAGTGGTGCTTGATCTGGCATATGTAGAATCGGAATGGAAGGACAATGCCAAGGGATGCCTGCGTAGATGGCTCACCAGAGTGATTGTCACACGGCCCATGGGGATCCAGAAGACCAGGAGCCAACAAACGAGGGACGCAAGGAGCATCAGAGGTCCGACCAAGAAGTAGAAAAACACGAAGAACACCACCCGACCCAATGTCCATTCACCACGTCCAAATAGACGGCGCTTCGAATGGGGTTGGGTGTCTTCGCTTTGTCCACGCTGAGGCCGGCCAAGTAGACTGTCTTGCTCGCCAGATGAATCGACACTGTTCCTTCTTCTACCAACAAGTGACCGGTCCCTGCGAGGAGCAAAGAACAGACGACCGTGCTCCAGGTCCCCATTCTGCCATTGCTCATATTCGCTGATACTGCGGCCTTCGCCTTCATCTTCCTCGGCATAGTTTTCATCTGTCTCAAGTAGGACAAATGAGCCAAACGGATAGAGCAGGTATCTCGAAAGGCCCGCAAATACTCTCCCGTATTCTACAGCGCTTGACGAGTATGCAAAGAAAAAGCATGCAACAGCAGCTACCAGGGCAATGAGGGCGAGCCACCAGCCAAAGAACAAGGACCAAAGCAGGTTGGTTAGGAACAAAAGAGGGCTGACATATCCACCGGGCGATGAATGAATGTCCCCCTCAGCAGACTTCTCCACCGAGCGACTCTTCTTGTACAGCGCAGGCTTCCACAACCTAATACCAAATGGATGGGTTTGGTTGATAGCTTGCTGACGGTCCTTGAGCGTAAAGCTTTCCGCATCACTCGCCGCGTCATCATCATCAGAGTCATCCAAGTTTTCATCCTCGTCACTGTCCACATCACTGTCTTCGCGGCGCCCCGTGGCTGGACCATCGTTCTCAAAGTCGATTCCCGGGCCCAGCAAGCTTGCCCCTTCTGGGTTGTAGCTCTCCGAGTCAGCCCTCGCCAAGGGGCTGGGTCGAACACTGGGGCGTCGTCTGAGTGTCGAGCTTTGTCTTCTCAACGGACGAATCCTAGGCGATGTGTTGCCTGTTTGCTTCATAGTCATGAACTGTTTGACCTCATTGACGTCGTCATCGGTCGAGAATTGGGAAATTTGCCGTTTGGAAGTCATACGACGCGACAGTGAAGGTTTGCGGGGCTTATCGGGAGATGCGGAGGATTGAGTTGTGAACGCACGACTTGAAGATTCTTCTTCATCGTCACGCGTTTCGGGATTGGTCGCCTCGAGGGAAGGTGTATCAAGCGTACCTGCAACCCCAGGTTAGCCCAAGTTGTCCTCGTTTCATGTTACACCGGAGGTACACCTACCATATGTCCTTCGTGCCGATGCAGCTGATCTCATTGGCGGTGCTGTCCCAGAGCCCGAGGCCTCACCCCCGGATGCAGAGGGCTGAGTTGGCTCGCGGTTGTTTCCTGTATCGCCTGCCATGGTTGAGTGTGTTGAGCGCGATACACGCGAGGGAGGGAGTATTAAAAGTGTACTCAGACCCCAAGTTTCCCCTCACCTTGGCCCTCTTTGTTGGTCCCAAGAAAGAAAGAACAAAACGAGATCAAAGCGATGAACCCTTCGTTGACATTATCCAGATAAGATCTAAGAGAAACCGGCGAGAGAGGTTCAATGAAATTTTTGATTAACAAAGACGCATATACATTTGCAAGGTAGGACGAGACTAGGAAAGAGAGAGAGAAGACTCTTTGACCGTTGCCTTGTACTTTCTCACTGCTTTGCAGATGATCAAGTCATCGGGCAGCTCAGTACCCAATCAGATCCACTCTGTAGATTAGTGGGGAGCTATCAATTTATCTGTTTGCACTGTTTGCACTGTTTGTTCTATTTGTATTTAATACCTGGAATCCCAGGCACCAGCATGACTAAGCTGAATGGGCGCTCACAGCTGCACGTAGAGCTAAGCTGATCAGCTCTCCAAGCCCCGGCGTCAACTCTTTCATCGTCAGTCCCGAACGACGTTCTATTGAACCAATCATCCCTATCTCACATTTGGACCGACCGAAGACGCCTTTGTCCTTTGGCTGTACCTGTGGTCTGTGACAAAACAGTCAGCCCTTGACTCTCCATAGCGTCATCAACCTCTCCCCCAAATCGCCATCATGGCTCTGGACAACTACTATCGCAATAAGATCGAGGGCATGAAGCTCGAGATCATCCAAGGCCAAGCCGTTTTGAGACGATTAGAAGCCCAGCGCAATGACTACAACTCCAGGGTGCGTCTACTACGCGAAGAGCTGGGCTTGCTCCAACAACCCGGTTCCTACGTGGGTGAAGTCGTGAAAGTGATGAGCACCAAAAAGATTCTGGTCAAAGTACACCCAGAGGGAAAATACGGTAAGGCCCCGAGCCCGGCACCACCATGACATTGAGCTAATCCCGTCACCTTCGCAGTGGTGGACATCTCCGATGGTGTCGATATTAGCAAGCTCACCGTGGGCAAGCGCGTTGCCCTCCTTTCCGATTCCTACAAGCTCGAGAAGATGCTGCCATCCTCCGTGGACCCGCTGGTTTCGCTCATGATGGTCGAGAAGGTTCCCGACAGCACTTATGACATGATTGGTGGTCTGGATCAACAGATCAAGGAAATCAAGGAAGTCATTGAACTTGGTCTCAAGCACCCCGAGCTCTTTGAATCGCTGGGTATTGCACAGCCCAAGGGTGTCCTGCTCTACGGTCCCCCCGGAACCGGAAAGACCCTCCTCGCCCGAGCGGCCGCCCACCACACCGACTGTCGATTTATCCGAGTCAGCGGCTCTGAGCTGGTGCAAAAATACATCGGTGAGGGTAGTCGCATGGTGCGTGAGCTGTTTGTCATGGCCCGAGAGCACGCACCCAGTATCATCTTCATGGATGAAATTGATAGTATTGGATCTAGTCGGATAGACTCCGCCGGTGGCGGTGATTCCGAGGTACAACGTACTATGTTGGAGTTGCTGAACCAGCTGGATGGATTCGAGCCCACTAAGAACATTAAGATTGTCATGGCGACGAATCGACTTGACATTCTCGATCCGGCCTTGCTCCGACCTGGGCGTATTGACCGGAAGATTGAATTCCCCCCTCCATCGTGCGTGACCTCTCCCATTTTTGCCCGTCTTTGCCCCTGCTAACCCTCTACGTAGGATCGAGGCCCGTGCCGATATTCTGCGGATTCACTCCCGCTCGATGAACCTGACCCGTGGAATCAACCTCACCAAGATCGCCGAGAAGATGAACGGGTGTTCAGGCGCCGAACTCAAGGGTGTCTGCACGGAGGCCGGTATGTACGCCCTCCGTGAGCGTCGGGTGCACGTCACACAAGAGGACTTCGACCTGGCCACCGCCAAGATTTTGAACAAGCACGATGACAAGGAGGTGGCCGTGTCGAAGCTATGGAAGTAGAGGGAATCTGGCACGATCGACATTGTACCACTAGTTCTAATCCTATGCTTGATCATCCCAACCCAAATACATCATTGACGACGTGTTCAAATTCGACCCATAGGGACGATCGTAGATGTGGCCCTTCCTGTGGCTCCTGTTCCACCCCCCGCATGTGTCGAACGTGGATCACCCCGGTGAGATTGGTCGATCTTGTGTCGACTGTCTGGAGTACCCCCACGTATGAAGTACGTCGTACGTCGGTACGTCGTCCATTGTCCACCCAAACGGAGGTCTCCTTGGCATCCACCTTTCTCGATGCACGGGGCAAACTAAAAAAAAAGCAAAAAAGCAAAGAACAACTCCCAAGCGGTCAACAGGAGAGGGATAGTGCTTGGCACATCTAGGCACCCCCTATACTTATGGAAAGTGAGTAGAATTCCGTGAGTGCTTGGCAATATGCGGACCGCGTAGATCAGTCTCCTATCGGCATTCGCTTGGCGCGGAAATCAGTGTCCGCGGATCGGTCTTGGCGGTTACTCCCAGTTTGAGTACCAGTTTGAGTACGGAGTTTGGAGCACAGAAGAGTAAGAGTGGTGGTTCCATTACACAGAACTTCTAAGGTACGGAGTATGGAGTGCCGAGGAGTATTTAAGTAGCAGTACCTAATAGGTACCTTAAAGGGTGTACATCTGTTGCCGAGCCACGAGTACAGCGTCGTACAACGGAAGCAATGTCGGGTAATATCAGCGCGTGACCGTCCCAATAAGAAAGTGGAGTACCTGAGCCCCTAGTCCTGGGTACCGGATCCACTTATGGTCACCCCATACTTTGGACATGTATCCGACACTTGCCCCAATGTATCTTTACCCTTTTTTATATACTCCGTACAAAGTACTCTATAAATCTATGGAGTAAGAATCTGGAGAGTCTCTATACAATTAAGGGATATTTTGCCATAGAAGTGCCTCTAGCCTAGTGAAAGTAATAATAATAACAAGTACAAAAAAAGAAGAAAAAGCAAAGAAATCAGCCAAGTGTCTGCATAAGACTGACCGACACTCCCTTTTGGGTCAAGGGGTTTATCTGGCTTTTTACACCATCGCATCATCCAATAGAATTCGACGATTCGACAGTTGTGATTTACCCGGAATTTAAACTATACAAGTGGACACTATTTGAACTGGGTCCATCCCCCTCTTCAACTTGACCTTATATACTCCATACTCCAGACTGGATTACTACAATACTACAATACTGCAATACGGCACGGGAATACGATGTCAGACCTGTGGTCATCTCTAGCCTTTGCCATTGACCCCAAATCTCAAGCCATGCCGGCCGTCTTACAATCCACCATTCATCTTCTGGAGAGTGAGTTGGTCAAGGCCCGTGCTGCCCTCCAGGAAATTCAACCCAATGCTTCACCATTTGGTTTTCGGGGGGATGAAGTCGCCGTAGGAGCCATGGCCGCCTACAGACAAGATCTGATCGGCCGAGCCCCCGATTTCTATGGATCACGGCGTTTGACACGCAAGGAACTAGGTCTGGAACCGGTCGTGCGGGAAATCCCCACAGAGCGGGTGTCAAAGACCGTCGCTGCACCTCGTCGAACATCGTTGGAAGATGTACTGAGTAACAGCTTGGTACTGGACCAGATGGCCCCGTATCTGTCAGTGCCCTCGCTGATGGCCTTGGGGTCAACCTCCCGCCACCTTCACACTGTGATCAAGCAGACTCCATACGTCTTCCGACATCTCGACCTGACTCGCTGTCAAGGCGCCCAGCTCCCCACGGTGTCACAACAGAACGAGACACAGACAGAAGAGGAGATCTACGCAGCCCCATTGAAGAATATCTTCAGGAGCTTGGAGCGCCAACACATACTACAGGATGTGCGCACACTAGTGTTGGATGGCCTGTCAGTACCTGCAGATCTGGTGGCTCACCTGATGTTATCAGACCGGTTCAACGTGAATATTTTGTCCATTCGCGAGTGTCGGAACCTAGATGAACGCAAGCTCATGGAGATCATCCAGCATGCCGTTCGCCCGAACCGCCCCGCTGGAACCCCACGAGTGAAAGGAATCTATCATTTCTCCCCGACCCAGACTTCTCAAGTGGTAGCGCGTCCCAAATACCGGGACTGGTGGTCAACTCGGGCTCAAACATCACGAAGCCCCAGCCAAACCCCATCCATCTCAGAGACCGCACCAGCGAAGCGGCAGAATGAGTGGTACAGTCCAACCGGAAAACTATTTAAGCATAGCCTAGAGGAAGGTTGGGCTCAGGTGCTCCAGGAGTGTGAGGGAATCATCGCCTTCGATGCCACCTTGTGCCGTGGCCCACGACACACTCCGCCTAGCGAGACCCTGGATTCCCCAGAACAGGTCCCCGGACCCGCTGTCACCACTGTAGCTCTCGGTCCTCGTGGATGCGATGGCTGCCACAGTTCTCCCGAAGGGCCAGCGATCTGGGGTCAGTCCCCAGACGTTCAATTCCCCCTTCTCAGCCCTCCGCCACTCCATTCATCGACCATAGCAGCAGCCAAGCGACCCGAGTTGATCCCGGGCGAGCACCCAGTGCTCATTGCTCGCTGTGCAGACTGCCTCACCAACCGATGGTGTCACCGATGCAACAAGTGGTTCTGTGGGAACTGTCTCCCTAACCCACAGCGAATTCAAGTGAATCTGTCGCCGCATCAAACTGCTCATGCAACATCTCCAGAATCTGAAGAGCACGAGGTATGTGCTATTTCTATTCGCCCGCTAGCCATGTCACTAATTCCCTTTTAGAGAATGGAACGAGGAGTGAGCAAAGATTGCTGGGAATGTGGCCCAACCGTGAGTCTATTTCCTCTCAGAAGTAGGTCCCTGCTAACCGCACCAGTGTGCTTCCTGTAAACGAGAATGCCAATATACCTGTCAAGGGTGTCAGGGCGATTATTGCATCCAACACAATGAAGGGTGCTCAAAAACATTAGTAAGTCCAGGAAACCAACGGGCATAAATGCAATGACGCATATGCTAATATGGGAACAGTGTGATTGGTGCAACACCAGTTCTCGCGGTCGAATGCGTGGCAACTTTTAATAATATAGGTCTACTTGGTACGTATACTTGGTATACTTGGTGACTTCGTCTTGATTGCCAATCGCCTGGAGGCTTCCAGAATCTCTTATCTTATCGATAGCGTCTTTCATCCGGCAGAATTTACAGCGCATTTCTATACTTCTATACTTCAATGCTTCAATCCATCTATATCTCTACCCTATAGCTCTTGGTGATAGGATATTTAAGATCAAGTAAGCTCCATTTACCAAGCACGGAGCTCATTTCTAGATAAAATTGCCCAGATCAGTATCACAACAGCCGCAACATGCAGGCGGAGAGTGGGGCGGTGTATGTATGAAGAGTGGATTTTCTAGAATCGTCACTAATTCCCACTGTATCCCACCTTGCGCATATAAGTATGGGGAAGAGATAAGTTTCTCTCCGCCGAATCCTCATTATGGCACAAGATACTCTCGTCTGGTCTTCCCAGTTTGTGGTCGCATCACCAGAACGAGCACCCCGACTGCCCGGTGATAAGATCACACTCCCACAATCCGCTCTCGAGCAGCTACTAGCTGCCGCTCCGCTTCAAGCTGTGCCTGGAAACGCCCGGGTGCACACAGCGTCCTTCGATCCCTTTAACCCTCACACTTTTGCCGCCGAGTCTCGAGCCCGGCAAGAGATCGAACAACGTCAACAGCAACTGCCCCACCCGTTGACCTTTCGCATTGTCAACCCTCAGAATGGCCGATTTATCTACGCGGGTATACGAGAGTTCTCCGCCGAGGAGAATGAAGTTGCGCTTAGTTCTTTGTTGAGAGAATCGCTGGAAATCAAGGATGAAAGCTTTGCCAATGAAGAAGCACAAGACCCGGCCGAACCCACCGAAGCACAATCGGCACAGGCTGGCCCCGCAGTCACTGTCCACGCGAAGCAACTGCCAAAGGGTACTTATGTTCGTCTTCGTCCACTGGAATCCGGGTATGACCCGGAGGATTGGAAGGCTCTTTTGGAACGATACTTGAGAGACAATTTCACCACTCTCACTACTGGAGAACTTCTGGCGGTGCCCGGAACTCGAAACGAGTCTTTTAGGTTCTTGGTCGACAAAGTATTCCCCGAGGGCGAGGGAATATGCGTGGTAGATACAGACTTGGAAGTCGACATTGTCGCACTGTCAGAAGAACAAGCTCGAGAGACGCTACAAAAAAGACTGGAAAAGTCCGCGCGTGCGCCGGGTACGAGCACTGGTAGCTCACTCGGTGGAATTCTCAGTCTTGGGGAGACCGTGACTGCCCAGGTACTTCCTGGTGACTATGTGGACTATGAACTACGAGAATGGAACCGCGAAGACATCATTCAAGTTGAGCTCGTTTCAGACGATCCGAATGTCAGTCTGTTTGCTAGTCCACTTAGCAGTCGCCAGCAGAGTCGCCCCAGAGCAGACATGCATGTTTGGGGGGATTTTTCGAGTCACTCGCCTAAGAAGTTTGAACTTCGACCTACGAACATCGCCTTGGAAGGTGCTGAGGCATTCAACGTATCAGTCTCATCGGATTCCCAGGCTAGTGATGCAGCCTCGCCATCGCCATCGCGTTATCAATTGCAGATCACCGTAAATGCCCCAGAAACCCTCAATGAGGACGAAACACAAGAGCCCCACGAGGCTGGCGACATACAATGCAAGAACTGCCAACAATGGGTCCCGGAACGGACGTTGGTTCTGCACGAGAACTTCTGTCTCCGAAATAACATCCTATGCCCGCAATGCAATGTTGTCTTCCAAAAGAGATCCGAGGAGTGGCAAAATCACTGGCACTGTCCCCAGGACTCTGCTAGTGGCAATGATGCCTCCAGCAAAGAAAGACATGATACGATATATCATCAGACCCATCAGTGCGTCGACTGTGCTTTAGATCTTGAGGGGTTGCCGGCTCTTGCCCAGCACCGCACCACAGACTGCCCTGGTAAGTTGATCTTGTGTCAATTCTGCCACCTCCTGGTGCCCCAGAAAGGGGAATCAGACCCTGATCTCCATGACCCGGAGGTGATGCTCTCTGGCCTTACTCCCCACGAACTGGTAGATGGAGGACGTACGACCGAATGTCACCTGTGCAACAAGATCATCCGTCTCCGGGATATGAACACACATCTCCGTCATCATGACCTGGAGCGTTCCTCACGACCAACGCCTCGCATCTGCTTGAATGAAAACTGCGGCCGCACCGTGAGTAAACCTGGCAATGATACCCTCGGTCTATGTGGATTCTGCTTTGGGCCATTGTACGTCGACTCGTTCGACCCAGAAGGAAAGGCACTGCGCCGGCGCATCGAACGTCGCTATCTTTCTCAAATGATGACTGGATGTGGCAAGCCCTGGTGTCAGAACAAATATTGCAAAACAGCCAAACAGAACATGGCATCTGAATCTGGCCCTACCATGAGTGTTGCGGAAATCATGAAGTTGACCAAACCCCTCGCCGAAGCCCTCAACACTAAACCGGATGTTCCCAACTCAGAGCCTTTGTTCTTCTGTGTCGATGAAACCAGTCAGCAGCGTCGCAATCTGGCAGGACTGATCGCGGCAGACACCGAGGGCGAGAAAGCCTTTGAGCTGCCATGGTGCATTGCCGGAGTCGAAGCTGGTGGTGGTGATTTGGAGAAATCGCGAGAATGGCTATCCAAATGGGCACCGACCCGCAGCTGAACTGGACTGAATAGACGTTGTATAGAGGCTACGACTTTCATCCGGAATTACGTCCGGGGTATTCATAGTGTAACGCATAATGAGACAATAGAATTCATAATATTCATGATAAGATGCAAAGACCAGGCTTAAACGGTGCCATGGATTGTTGCAGCCATTAGCTTACGTGGTGCAAGACAATGATAATAGATCCAATAACCATTCTAAGCCGCGCCTGTTTTCGCAGCCAGCGAGCCAGATCCACGAGAGGAGAAGATGCCCATGATGCCAAAGACAACATAGAACAAGGCCAGCGGGTAAGCCACCAGTCCCCGCATCCCGCTCATGCGGGCCACCGCACAGAACATGCCCGAGGAACTGTAGGTACACCAGCCAACCGCGGCAATTGTCAAGAGATATCCGAACAAGGTATCCATGGGAATGAGGATACCAATCAGACTGGTAAGAACCAAAGGAAGGAAACAGTAGCCCAGGACACTGGCGGAGCGAGGGAAGGTCAGGGTAGCGGAGAAATGACCGGCGGTGGAGGCATTGGACATAGAAGGTTTGTGGTGAGGGTTGTAGTTGTTAGGGTCAGCGGCGTTGGGGGTAGGAGCTGTGTCGAGGGCAGGAGACATGAGGCTAAGAATCATGTGCAAGGCAACTGTGCCAAAGACCGCCACACCGTAGATATAGCCATAGAAGACCTTTCCGGAGAGGAGAAGGAAAGTGCCGTACAAGACGATGTAAAGCAGTGCTCCGTAGAGATCACTATCGTCCATAAGATGGTTATCGATCGAAGCAAAAGGATTGAGAACCGTCAAAGTCTAGTTGATACTCCTGTTAGCGGTGCGCACAAGAAGGGGGAGATTGCACCCCCGATATCAACGTACCTTAGTCCGGATATGTTCAAAGTTGACTCCTAACTCCTCGAGCAGCGGTGGCTCCCCGTCATACCCCTCTGTGCCAAACGCGGCTAACCAACCGGTCCTCAGGCCCCCTTGATCGCCCATGCGTCCACTGACGCCAGCAGCTGGTGATCCAAATCCATACGCGCCAGCAGCTGGGTAGGCCTGCGCAGAGGGATTGGGGGCGCCGCCAAACCCGGCGCCATAGGATGCTTGTGAAGGGGTCGTGTGGCCAGAGACGGAAGAGTAGGACGAGGGGAAGAACTGGAGGTTTTGTGCGGAGCCTTGAGGGGGATATCCCTGTTGCTGGGGGTAATATTGGGCCATTGCCGCGACGGCGAGAGAAGAGAGAGCGAAGGTGACGTGAAATGATTTGTGTGAGAGTGTGTAGACCTGCTAAGCTCCAAATGGCCTCTGAACAAAATCCGATTATGTAATCTGGGGACAGCTCCAAAAACTCCGAAGTATACAGACCATCTTACTGCCATTCTATTCTCTTCTATATAAAATCTGATTGTATAATGGGTGCATTGAAAAGGTGGAGAGACGTGTTTATTGTATGGTATGGAAGAGTTCGAAAATCTACTGCTTAAAGGAAATTGATGCCAATGCCCAGCTGCAGTCCTTTGCGGCCTTCTTCGCCCTTCCGCAACACCAGAGGCAAGGAGAAGTTCAACTCGAAGCGAGCGACAGGGTGGGCATAAACGATACCAAATCCTGCTGCCACACTGGGCAGACCGTTTTGGAGTTCAGAGAGAGTAGAGACCATGGCATTCTGCACCTCGCCATTAGTGGTAGGTGCGGCTTTCTGCGAGGTTTGCAAGGGAAGCAGACGGCCACCGTTCAGGAAAGCCTGGAAACGAACGGGCTTTTCAGCTCCGAGGCGGGGGAGAGGGAACAGCAGGTTGGCACTGCCAGCAGCGTATACATCTCCACCGAGGGAGTCGACTCCCTCACGGGGACCAAGACCACAGAGACGGAATCCACGGACATCGGTAGGTCCTCCAAGCTGGAAACGATCGTTCACTCGGGAGAGTTGAGGGCGGGAGTTGGATTCAAGTCCAAGGGGGTAGAGAAGGCCGGCACGGAATCCAGTAGTGAAGCTGACACCGCTATCTCCTTTAATTCCAGGAATAGGGATGGGAACAGCACCTTGTGTCTCGATCTCGGACTTGAAGAAGGAAACATCACCCTTGAGAGGACCAAATCCAGCCAGCTCGTTGAAGACCTTGGCGTAGTAGCCGCGGGACGGGAGAAGGGCATTATCACGCTGATCATTGACCCAGCTGTGGAAGATGCTACTCTTCACACTGTCTCCTGCATCCGCGCGGACAGTCGGAGAAGCATTTTCGGCGAGACCAGTTACCTGTCTCCAGAACCCGTTGTAACCCAACTCATGGCGGTGGCCCGCCTTGGACATCCAACGAAGCTTGCTCCAGCCACCCTTCAACACCTCTTCATGGCTTGCCCAAGACTTATGGGTGGAGCTGGCAATACCACCGAATTCCAGGCGGAAATCAGGATCGCCCAAGATGGGAGTCTCGAAGGCAGCCTGGTAAGCAGATCGCGTGCGGGTACCCAGAGAGGCGTTTAGGTTCAAAGTCTCAGCACCACCAAAGACATTACGCCAAAGAAGGTTACCGTATGCTGAGCCTTCAGCGTTCCCAAGATCGGTTCCGGTCTTCAGCAGCACGCGGGACTTCTCGCGCGTGGCCAGGTACACGTCAATGTTGCGCATTCCATTTTGGCCCTTGGACTCGTCCAAGTAGACTGAGATGGGCTGGTGGAACAAGTCTATAGCTCTGTCAGTAAACATATAGCCTCTCTTCTTTCTCCCATGTCCTTACCGAATCGACTAAGCTTATCAGCGGTAGCCGATACTTCCCGCAATGCCTCAGCCAAAGTATAAGGGCGACCCTTGTTGGCACTCAAAAGCGGATTCAAGCTGCGCTCAAGGAAGCTTCGGCGAGTATGGGGGGCATTGGTGACTTGCACAGAAGAGATAGTGCATGGTAGGGTGGAGTTCTCGTCGATCTAATGGGTGCCAGATTCAAGGTCAGCCGGTATATCCCGCAAGCCAGTGCAAAGGACTCCTTCAGAGATCCTGGATGGTGGACCAAGCATACCAATTCCCCCAGGCGGTTTTGTGCCTTCTGGTAAATAGCTTGCATGCGCTCATTCACGGCTTGCTGCTGCTCTTCTTGCACCTTGGGGTCTGCGCGCTGTTGCAGACGCTCGAAGACCTAGACGCGACGCAAAGTCAGTAGGAGTTGGCAATAGTGTAGCATGCCAGCTGGAGAAGGACCATACACTCTCATCTCCGGCAGCAAAGGACGACATATTTGCGGCGGCAATGGCCAGAACTTTCGGCCTCCGGGGAAGTTCTCGGGGGCGCCGAAGCCGCTAGAGTATATGCGCACGTGACTGGGGGGGGGGAATCCATAACCGTCACTCGGCATTGTCTGGACCTTACCTTCTTCGTGTTTCTCGACTTTCGCATTCAAATAGTTGTGACGATCATTTGATCGCAACCTTGCGCTATCTTTGTTACCTCATACAAAGCACTCCAAGATGGCGACAAAAGCGGCCTTCAAACGGGTATGTGGCGAGACTAAGCCCAATCTTTGCGCCAATCTGACAATATGCAACTATAGCTCACCCGTGAATACCAAAATATCCAAAAGGATCCCACTCCTTTCATTGTCACACATCCCTCGGAGACTAATATCCTAGAGTAGGTTGCATCCACCTGGTGGGAGGCGCCAAGCTGATCTGTTCTCTAGATGGCATTACATCCTAACCGGACCTCCGGGTACACCTTATGAGAATGGACAGTACTGGGGCACCCTGATCTTTCCCCCCGAGTACCCCTTTGCCCCTCCCGCGATCCGTATGCACACACCCAGCGGTCGATTCCAACCCTCTACCCGACTCTGTCTCAGCATCAGTGACTTCCATCCTAAATCCTTCAACCCCGCCTGGGAGGTTTCCACTATCTTGATTGGTCTTCTGTCATTCATGACCAGTGAAGAGATGACCACTGGCAGTGTCAGTGCTACCGAGAGTGAACGCCGAGTGCTTGCCGCGCGATCTCGATGGTGGAATTCCACCGGGGGAGGATCTCATGTGAGCGCCACCGCCGGTGTTACGCGCACTTCCAAGGGAATCAACAATGTCAAGGCCGGCGATGGAGGGTTGAAGTTCCGCACCGAATGGCCTGAGTTGGACCAGGAGAACTGGGAGTGGATGAAGGAGCACCGTATCGACACCGCCACCGGCCAAATCTTGCCCGACCCTAATGCGCCTACCAAGTGTTCTCCCGAGACCAGTGCTCTGCGACGACGACCTGTTGGGAGTGGCAGTGCCCCTGGACTTGGGGCAGTCATGGATGGGCAGGTCGCGCGCGAGGCCGGTTGGGCCGGACGCAACAAAGTGTGGATTGGTGTTGCCCTTTTCTTTGGCTATGCACTCATCTCACGACTTTTGAATGATGTACGGGCATGAAGTATTAGAATACCCCTTTGCGCTTTGCTTCAGCCTTGGCATTCTTTTCTTTTCTTTTTTTTCCCCTCTCCCCTGTTTATTTTTTTTTCTTATTGTTACCACTTTGTCTTAGCGGGTTTCACATCATTGCAGGGCGCAGGTAGACGATATTCAAGTCGAGGATTTGTCAAAATATGAAACCCCGTAAGCCGACATTGTTACACCGTTGGCCACCGGATCATCTCGACTTCGCGGGCTTGTGCTCACATTGACAACGTAACTATTTCTCTTCTAAATCCGCCTTCTCCCACTGCATAGTCATTTCTCTATGCAGTTATGTCCTCTCGACATACCCCTTCAGGTCAGTGCTTGGTTTTCTTGTTCTCAAGTGGATTGGAATCCGTAAGAGACCCGGAGCTTCTCATTTGTTGACCTTTCACGAAGTCGTGTCAGAGTTGCACCGTACCTTGACAAGGATTCGGGTCATTGAGGCGGGGGCTGAATGTCTTCCAGAACACAAATCGAAACCGCTAGATCGGCCCTCGTTCACTTTCATCGATCACGACGATGACTTGACCTCCAAGAGAATCAAGGATGTGAATGCGAGGAAGGCCATTCGCTCTCATGTCATGCGCGATGTACGTCGACGAGAGAGACTGGCAGGACTGAAACGGACCTCAAGACAGAATCGGGGGCAGAATGCCTCCAAGGGGACTGCCACTGGGGAACAGAGCTTGGCACTACGGACTTCCCCTCCGTCATCTAATACAGCGCTTCTGACCGATGAGAGGCTCCTCCCGACATTATATCGAAGAGGACGCCCAGACAGATGGAGTGCTGGATATCCGTTGCCTCTCTCCTCGAACCCTAACCCACCAGGAACGTGGTTCTTCGATCCTTTCTTCACGTTTCCAGGTACAGCCAGGACAGCCTCGGTGGTGGCGCCTTTGGTATACTACTGTAGGTTTGCGGTCGATCAGGTACCCTCTTCGAGTGTCTCGAGCGTCAAGCTGATTCCAGGGTACAGGGAAAACCGTATTTGTCCCAATGACATTTCCCAACACGAGCAAAAATGGGCTTGCGGAAATGGAACTGATGGCCCGAACATCGTTCTCGGATCCAGGCAGTTTCTTTGGTCTAATGAGCATGTGTGCTGCACATCGAGCCGTAGTTGCCAGCCAGCATTCGGGGGTGTTTGACTCTGAAAGTGGCCGGGAGGCTTTACTGGTGAATGACCCGGACTACTGCATGATGAAAGCAATGTCCATCCAAGAAATGTGTGCCAAGGTACAGGATCCGACCCGTCGTCTCAGCAACGAGGCCATCGATACCATCATCAATCTTCTTACCGGCTCGGTATGCATCTCACTTTTCATCACCATGGCATGAGTCACTGACGTGTCCCAGCTAATCGTCGGCGAGTTCAATGAAGTGCATACTCATTTGACAGGGCTGAAACGCCTGGTTGATATGCGAGGTGGGATAGCCGATGATAGCATTCGCTCTTCTTCCATGCTTGCTGCCATTATCACGTATGACCTCTCCAGTGCGTTCCCCACAAACCCAGCCTGACTATTACCAAAAGCACCGATGTGAAGGCTGCCTCTGGCCTAATGACCAAGCCCGTCTTTGATTTGACCTGGGATGCCCAGCCCATTCCATCAGATATCCAGGTGCGAATCAGGCCGCCGGCGTCGTCGCCCCTCCATCGTCTGGGATCGGCATTCTTTGCCAACAGCCTTCTCAGCCCTGCTCTCCTGCAGATCTTGAATGTTATCCGAGACATGGTCTTCTTCAGTATCACCCACCAGACCAATCCCACCGTGATCCAAGCCAATGACCAAGACTTCTTCCGAGTCCTGAATTGCGAGGCCGAACACCAGCTTCTCAGTTATATTTACACAGGTGATTTCCCCAATCCTGAAGCTGCCCTTCATCCCATCGAAGCCGTGGTCCGAGTGGCATCCATCTGCTTCCTCAATCATCTTCTCATTGTCTCGCCTTCGTCATCTGGACTGGGACGGGCCCTCACCAAACACCTCCGAACGGCAGCAACTAACTGCAGTTTCTCATTTCTTCTGGGCCTACCAAACGAGAATCTCCGACTTTATGCCTGGGTGTTATTCATTGGCGCTCAAGGCTCCTTGGGCCATCTTGAGAGACCATGGTTTGTAGAACGTCTGGCGCGGGTGTCGATGATTTGCGGATGGCAGTCTTGGGAGCAGGTTTCTTTTCTCATGGCTGACTACTTTTTGATTGACTTTGACAGTTTGAGTTGGCGTACAATCTGGGACGAAGCAATGACTGGGTTTGTGATGTCTGAGTCGGAGGAATCGGAGTTTTCCTATCTTCTAACAGACTTTTGAGCTTGTCCTTATGCAGGTATAATGATAATGATTACGATTGATACCCATATGTATCTAGACCCGAGTAGAGCAGAGAGAGAGAGAGAGAGAGAGAGAGAGAGAGAGAGAGAGAGAGCTGTATAGATACTTAAGTATAGACCCACTCTGCTTCCCCACAAACGTCCTTGACATTTTTCCTTGAACGTGTACTTAGTATCTTAGTATTCAAGCTCTTAAGTACTAAAAACAACAGTGAATAATCATTGAATTATGTTCTCAGTGATAAAATATGATGGGTTAGGCCAAAGAGATGGTCCAATTGTTAGTATTGTGTACTGTATTTTGAATTCAGGGTGTGTCTATAGACTCGAGTATTATCTAGAAGTCTATCTAATATACTAACTACGAAGTATCACACGGTAAATGTCATATGAATCCATTTCACCAGGTGTAGTATACTTAAGTATATACTTAAGTATATAGTAGGCAAATATTCGTAAATTTGTATACTTCGTCCTATCACGTGCCAGCTTTATGTCATCCGAAAAATTATCGGAACTTGGATGTTTTGGGATCTTTGGTTTCTTGATCTACTCGTTGTCCTTTCTTGTTATCATATTCTTCACTACTGAAAATGGGCTGGTTCTGGGCTGATACTCCAACTCCGGCGATTCCGCAGCCACCCAGCGCATCCCCTCCAGTTCGTCGCTTTCCATCACCAAGACGATCAACACTGACCTTATCTACAGCCAGGATGCCCGATGCACGAAGCAGGCGCAAAGCCTGCACCAACACTGGCTGCTGAACCCCCTATCAGCTGCCCGATGAAGTCCAAAGACTCTCCATTCTTCTCCGCGCCGTCAACAGAAACACCGCAGCCACCCGTCGCGCAACCACCCGCGCAACCTTCAACCTTGTCGAAGCTGAACCCATTGAACTTCATGTTCTCCTCAATTTCCCAAGAGCGCGCTGCGAACCAAACCGTTGATCTTCCCGTGGAACGGGAGCCTTCCTCTATCCCCAGAGGCGACGGCGAGGGCAACTGGGAGTATCCCTCCCCGCAACAAATGTACAACGCGATGTTGCGCAAAGGACACACCGACACGCCCCAGGATGCAGTGGAATCCATGGTGGCAGTACACAACTTCCTGAACGAGGGTGCCTGGGATGAGATTGTATCCTGGGAACGCGTGTTCAGCAAAGGCCTCAAGTCTGGATGGCAGCATTGTCGACGCGGCGAGGAAAACCTCAGCAACGACCTGATCTATGCCGATGAGAACGGCAAGTTCAACGATGCCACCCCGCCCCGCCTGCTGCGTTTCCAGGGTCGTCCACAAGAGTGGTCTCCCAAGGCCTCGATCTACCAGGCTCTGAGCTGGGCGTACCCGGCCAAGTTTGGGTAAGTTCTCTGGACGAGGTTGATGATAAGATGCTGACATTAAACAGTACAAGCCCTCCCTTCGATCGCCACGATTGGTACGTCGTTCGTCAGACTCCCGAGGGTCCCAAGGAAATCCGATACGTGATCGATTATTACTCTGCGGACCCCGACCCTCACGGACTCCCAGTTTTCCACCTTGACATTCGACCTGCGATTGATACCCCCACTGCTGCTGCTGAGCGACTCATGCGCTGGGGAGGTGATGTTTGGTGGAGAGCGAGCGGCGCCAGTGTCCGCGAGCAGGCCTCTCAGGCCTCTCAGGCCTAGGCACCTAGCATTAAAGCTAGGGCAGAATGCTTCTCCACTCCCCTCTGTACAGTTCCGACATGGCGCCGGCGTTTCATGACTTTGGCTCATGCTTGTATAATGTTCTTTCTCCCCTGTCTTAACATTTGTTTTGCCATTTGGTCTATGACAATAGACGCATGATAACGATATCTCTGCATTAATTCAGTTTAGACCTATTTTTCTTCGATTTACTTTCCGAATGGCTATTTTAATTTTCGAAAAAAATAATATATGGCATTCAAACATGTCATCTAAATCTTCATATCAACAGGGGAAGGGGGATCTATGGTACAAAATCTAGATGTAGGAACTTAGATATTAGGCGACAATTGGTCGTACTTGACGCAGTTTTCAACGCTCTCGATGCTGGCCTGCAGCAATCCACGGGCTTCCAAGCCAACCCAGACCCAAAGCATCGAGTAATCGCCCGACTGCACGGACTGCACGAACGTGCTTCCAGATCCAAGTTGTCGCAGAATAGGAAGGGCACTACATACGAGTCAGCGTTGAACCAAGGATAGTAAAAATGGAGCACTCACCTCTTGAATAAGTCCAGATCTGGATCCAGACTCCGTCCAATGCCCTCGAGCAGGAGACAGGAGATGACGACGTTGACGAAATCTCCCTCGAAACGGACATGATGCCCGCGGACCATTGTCAATACCTCACTGAGGATATCTCCAATCTTGACACTGCCAAGAGCAAACGTTCGGGATTTGATGCTCAGAACCAGGTGCTGCATCTTCAGCGCAAAAATCTCTGGATCAAGAACCTCTTCCGGGGTGCGACACCGCTCGACCATGAGTTGACCAGCCCTATAGCCGTCAAACTCGGCGATCGACCGGAAGAGATCCAAGAAGTTCCGGCGATTAGTCTCATTGAGTTGAGTCACCAGGCCGGTGTCGATGAAGATCAATTGCGGCCTGTATCCCTCGTCATTCAGTTCGGACAGAACAGCCTCCCACTCCTGGGTGTTCTTGAGATGAGGACGCAGCCGTTTGAGAACGGCTTCTGTGACGTCAACTTCAGCCCGGGTCGGGGCATCAAAGGCACGTGAATGCTTGCGAAGGGAGAGGTCCAGTTCGCTTGGTTGGTAAAAGCGGACCATGATATTGCCCGGATGGAGATCAGCGTGGACAAAGTTGTCGATGAGTAACATGTGCAAGAATGCATCGAGACCTTCATTAGCGATCTCATGTTGATAAACGCCGCCTCCAATGTCTAAAAAGGTAGCCAGCGGGATTCCCTGGGCGAATTCTTCGACCAGCACATCACGGGTAGTGTATTCTAAGTAAGGATAGGGGAACCAGGCCGCAGTGCGCGACTTGAACTTCTTTCTGAACATTACCAGGTTGGTTGCTTCGATCCGAAGGTCCAGTTGGAGTTTCATCATTTCTCCGAATTGCTGAACTTCATCTGGGAAGGACAACCAATGCATTGTAGGGATGGCATCGATCATGTGTGCGAAGAACGACATTATACGCAGATCTCGATGGATCATCTGTTCCACTCTGGGGTGCTGAACCTTGATCGCAACATACGAGGACGGCACTCGCTGCGGGGAGCTCTTGACCAGCACGTCAACATTCTTTCGAACCTTTTCGCCCAGTGTCGGTGGCTCTACGCCGAGTTCCTGATCCCTGGATGCAGCCAAGCTCGGTTTCAGCTTCGCTTTATAGACCTGTGCTATCGCACCAACGCCGAGAGGTTCCTCCTGGAATTCCTCGAAGATATCCTCGAACGGCAATCCGTTAAAAGCCTTGCGGATGATGCGTTTCGTTTGGTGTAGTGAATGGGCAGGGGCGTTGGAGTGCAGGGACGACATTATGTTGCACATTTCCGGAGGGAAGATATCTGTTCGTGATGCGGCCCATTGTCCGAGCTACCCAGATCATATTGTCAATTCAGTCTCAAATAATTGGACTCCGAAGCCACTCTTACCTTGATAAATGCAGGACCGGCCCGCTCCATCGCCTTCACCAAGAACCGATACCACCACAGTGTGCCCGAGCGGGCTCCATCCTGATCGTTCGTTTTTCGGCCGATCCAGATGGCCGGGATCGTGACGACGACGGGGACGAAAATAATCGCCAGGTGTACAAAGCGAAAACCGGTTGCAACGGGGTCGTAGACATAGTGGTAAAAGTAGACCCAGAGAGTCTGACAGAGCTTCGAGATGCCATGCGCGTCGGGAGAGACAGATTTGCGGACTTCTTCCCGCGACGCTTCGAGCATCTGCATTTCAGCCGTCTTGTCAGATCCATCATTCTCTTCAGCCAGCTTCAGGAACGCTGCAGGTGCTAAGGTGGCCATGAACACCCCACCTATGATGGGAGCCCGGCGCGGGCTCTGCCGAGGCAGTTGTTGTCGAGGCCATGGGATGTGTCGGCGCGGAACGCGCTTGAGGCATAAACGGCCGATCAGACCGACCGCCCTCATGTTCTTCATGCAGTATGTACCAACATGGAATGTATAGGAGATAGTGAAGTAGTGAAGTGAAGAAGTTGTGAAGTGACGAAGTCCAAGGAAGCGGGTATTCCGTAGACACGTGCTTCGACGTCATCGGGAAGGTGTTTACTTAGTAGTTGGCTATATAACTATACAGATATTATACTTAAGTATATTAGATATTCATATTCATATTCTATATTATATTCTAATTCTATACTTAAGTATATCTAGTGTTTCGTGTTAAGTATTGTGTAGTATAGGCAAATATGACTATAGACTTGGGATCTCACCCTTCCTACTTAACTCTTCCTCTCTCCACCCTTGAAACACCTCAAAACACAGACCAATTCTCTGATACCATCAGATGCATCAATCAAATAAAAGAAGCTTTGTGGGGTACAGTCCCCCTAATTGACCCCGAGTTCGTCACATTCCACAGCCACAGCCACATTCCTTTCCGCTTGCCCTCCCCAAATCCGGACATCCTCGCAAAGACTGGCGATCTTGTGTAAGAGCGGAGCAACTACTGGAGTAAACAGCTCCCCGAAAACAGCAACATCCTGGTTCTAACAGCCGGGGAAATGGTCTTGAACGGCATTAAATGGCGACATGCCCATGGCCACGCCATACGTGTTTCCCACCTTGAAAGATCACAGAGATGGCCCGGGAACTGCTGATCAGGGGTCGCCCCCGAAATCTCCGCGATGTGGAATCCCACAGTGAGGGGAAGTCCTCCTTTTGGCGCGATTGGACTGTGATCCTGCTGTGGAGTGTCGTAGGATACACTTGTCTCCTCTTCACGGTGTTGACCTTCTTCAATCCGCGTCTGGTCCATTTTGATATCTCATCGTTGCTGTTTCGGAAGGAGATATCGCCCTTTTTCGCATTCTCCCAGGCATCGGGCCATTACCCCAAGCCACAGGGATTCAAGATTGTGGCTTTGGTGCCCTTCCACGATCAGGAACGTACGGCCATCTTGGACTGCTACTTGCAGGTGAGATCCCTTTTTCTAGCCCGCCTCCTAGATAAATCCTAACTGATTTACAGAAAAACTTGGCTCAACACGATGGATTCCTGGATCAGGTCGTCTTCGTCCCGCTAACGGACAACGCTGCCAGCATTCAATGGCTGTACTCGATCATTAACCAAACACCCGAGTATACCATCGCTCCCGCAGGTGAGGCTAGCGAATGGCAGCTTACCGAGAATGTAATGTACATTCGGATCGACGGGGATACAGTCTTCCTGGAGGAAAACGCTATCCCCACCATCGTCAAGACCAAACTCGACCACCCAGACTCGTTGATAGTCTCGGCCAACGTCGTGAACGAAGCAGCTCTCGCATCCCTCCATAGCCACCCTGGCGTCGCTCTCCCATATCTCCCCGAGCTGCGTCGTATAGAGCAGCCAGCGCGAGGAAAGCTAGAACACGATGAAGATTGGCGCTCGTCGCACCTTCCTCGCTGGCAAGGTCCCCCGAATTTCAAAGTCACTCGTGACTTTGAGCCACCTTTTGAAGGGCACCGCTGGCTACTTCCCCGCGAGGCTAGCTCTGACCGCGATCCGATTGCAGCCTCTGTGTACACCGACACTGGTCCCACATTGGATGACTGGACAGTGGGTGCGCAGCAGCATTACTCGTTCTTGCATCATTTGGAAGACAATGATCTGGGTCATTACAAGTTCCCTATCTGGGTTGATCCCGCTGAGTCCATCAGCCAAAACTTTGGCTGCTTCTGGGGAAATGATGCGGAGGCTGTGCGCGATACTTTCAACCACAGCACTCGTAAATTGTCCCGGAACACGTCAGATAAGACTCCGCATGCCATCATCGATGGAAAAGGCATTGTGGCGCATTACTCGACTCAACAAGCCGCGGCGGGTTTGGATGCCACAGACCTCATCAGTCGTTACCGGGCATATGCGCGAGAGAAGGTGTGTCTGCAAACACAGTAGTTTTACAGGTGTCGTGAGAGACTCGTTGTACATATAAATACCCAATGATCTATAATGAAGCTGGCGCATGAATATCGGACGTTTATGGAGCATGATGGGTCGTGCTCGTCTTGTAGTTTGTTCAGAATATTCGATTTTGTTCATCTACTGCGTGTTTGGGACTTTGGTCCACTGACTGTCTGTAGGTTGTGTCTCACAGAATAGCCATTCAAGAATGCAACACGCCGATACTTAAGTAGCAGTTTTTTAAGCCTCAGCAGAAGCCTTCAAAAACGAAGCATGAGGCTTCGCTAGATCTTCTAGCAGATCTCTATATCCTTCGGGAAGCGCCCCGGACTAATGCAAAATCAGTACATGGCCAGGTCCAGTCAAATGTCAAAAACTTACCTCATTCTTTAACAAGCCCTGCACAAGGACGAAGGCATTCTCACGATCCTTGGTTTCTTGCGACTTGTCAACTTCTTGCTTCTCTTCTTTTTCTTCCGCTTGGACCTGATCCGAAGCTTCACCACCTAGCGCCGTCTTGAGAAGCTCGGTAACCTCGGTCTTGTGCAAGCATTCCACGACTGCAGCACAGCCCTTTGGATCAGTTGCCATCAAAGCAAGGGCAAACCAGCCTTCGCTGCGCACGACAGGCCATTGTGTCTGCGTGATCATCGCGCCTATTGGCATTGCAACACCATCGTGTAGTGTGAACAGCCGATCGAGCAAATCTAATGCCTTTTCATCTCCACCGCGAGCTATGGGGCTCAAGGTTCGACAGATCGAAGCAACTGTCCGGCCAATCTCGGTCTTAATAGGCGTAGAGTCTGTCTTCTCGAAGAGAGACAAAAGCAGAGAGAGATAGGTCCGTTGGTGAGCCGGGGAGTCTGGGTCCTGTGAAAGCGGAGCAAGAAGATAGGAGATGTTATCCACAGAGGAGATGATCACCTGGCGGGCAATACTAGCCGCCGAGAATTGAACCTGCGGCACAGACTCGTATGCCCATAAGCGTGAAACGGCAGGAATGATACCAGCCTCTCCAAGCGCGGCCCTGTTATCACCGGCAATGGCCAAATTTTTGAGGAAACCAAGCGAAGAATGTAGAACTGCCCCACGAGCCTCACCCTTGAGAACAGAGATGAGTTCTTCGTGGATCTTGAGCTCACGCACCATCACCCGGCAGACCTCATCAGATCGAGCCAAGTTCCCAAGCATGACGCAGGCACAGATCTGAAGCTGGTCTTCCGATGAAGCGACCCACGACTTCAATGTATGAGAAAGGGGAGAATCGAGGGGGTAATTTTGAGCGAACAATGGCGACGCTGAGACCTCAGCCAGAGCCTGATTGGTTTTCAATCGAAGTTGGGCGATAGCCTTGACGTCTTCGGCGGAGGACTGGTCTACCTCGACGGAGAATGAACGGCGTAGAACATCCAGGACGCCCTCCACCATCATGTTTGACACACACACATTTTGGAATCTCTCTTTTTCCAAGTATGCGGCTAGTGAAGTTGCCAGTGATGAGAAGTGAGAAAATTCGAGGTTCTCGACGATGGCAAGTTGCATCAGCAATAGAATTGTTCCATCAGGAGAGTTTTCGATTCCGCCGGCTGTTGAATTCGTGTTAGAAGATGATGTCGTGTTTGAGATAGAACGCACCTTGTTCCGAGGCCAGTTCGATCAGATCATAAGCGAAATTCAATAGAGCCTCATTGTCCTCAATCGCGCCGTCTTGAATCAATTTCAACAGAATGTAGGCTGTCCGGTTAGCAGCTATCTGAGCATGGGCTGGCTCTGCACGTGTGTTAGTAAATTTCTCGTTATCATCCTAGCATCCTCAAATCATACCGTAGTCCATGCAGATGTTATAAATGACTGGAATCGCCACAAAGACCAAGTCGGGATCAAGGAAGTACCGGATGATAGCAAGGGTATGGTTTCCTTCGACCACAATCTCTCTGTTCTCATCTAGATTGTCATTAGCACCAGACTCTCCATCGGATTTATTCGAACATACTTGTATCGGCACAAGAGTTACCAATGACTCGCAGAGAGTGAAGCAACAAGCTCGGATCAACCTTTTCCTTTGACGAGATCACATCCAAGAAGAACTTCAACACCCCCGACTGGCCGAACGGGACACGCCATGACGCTGGACCAAGGTCAATAACTGACTCAATCGGTGCATGCAATTGACTCACGATCTCTGCTTCCATTTGCGATTATTTCAGTAGCCTGAGTCAGGTATTGGGAATCGCAAGACCACAGCTTGTGCAGAATATCACAGACACTTTGCAAAGTCTGAGCATCCCGGCGACCCCGTTTGGAGCTTGCCTCTGCCTCTTCAAGAGAACTGTGTAGCTCTTTGAGATCGAAGACTTTCTCTTCCTCGTCGGCCTGCGCCTGTTCAATGATTGTTTTTAGATCGTGAAACATCTCCTGTTGCTTTGAGGAATCAATCGTCTCTGTGCGCGCTTCTAAGGATGACACTGTGCTAGGCAAATCCTCGAGGATCTTCTGAATCGAAGGCAACTCCCAGTTCGATTTTTCCGACTGAGCAGCCCCATGGCTGGTAGATATAGCCTGAGCAGACATCTTGAATTGATATCCGATTAGCTTGCGAGCTAAAGTCCGTGGATTTCAGAAGATTCTGCCCGATTAGGAAAGGCTCTTTTGAATAGATGAGGGAGCCTAGATGGCAGCCTCCAGGTCAACACAGTGGGGGCTTTGGGCCAATGCTTCGGTATTAATGGGTCACAGGCAACAGAAGGGGAGTTGACAGGAGCTCCCGTTTAGAGGGGGGGACAGTTCTGCCTGAAGTGGGTTCAGGCATCAACCCTGTTTCGGTTAGACTGGGAGTCTTAGATCTGTGTGCTCAAAGGGAATAGGCAGAACAGACAGAATAGACAGAATAGACAAAATATGAGATCAGAGAGACAGAAATCTAGACGAGCAGGAAATAGACAAACAGAACAGCGGATAATGAGATCACGTGTTCTATACTAGTAGACTGGTACAAATGCATTTTAAACACATTGGGCTCTGTATTTTTAAGAGACTTAATACTATGTATAAATATATATGTAAATATATATTACAAAGCCAATTGATCATTATATATACTTAAGTACCCTGCTCATCTCAGGAAATGTTCAAAGATTCGAAAGTTATACTCAAGATCAATAGTCCGGAGACGGGAGTCCAGTGACCGCCAAGAAATGCATCCAAGCTGGCCTTTGCCGCATACACACCAAGTCCCTCATTCCTCATAGCTTTCACAATTGACCTCCTTCCTCTCCTTTGTGAATATCCTCTCTTTTCATCATGACGCGCGCTCTTCAGACTCTCTCCGTCCTGCTCCTGGTCTCCTCCGTACGAACCCCCTCGCCATCGCCGTCTTGGGCCATCCGCTGACCATTGACTAGTTGTACCTGTCTCTCTTCCTGGGCCTGGTGCCCCTGAACGAGACTGTCCAGACTGAAATCATCCCCGTGGTGCGTACCAGCTTGCCCCTCTCGAAAGGGTCAGTTCAAAGCTAACCCATCCAGCTTCCCTTCTACGCCCTGATTGTCTTTGCCTGCTACCTGCTAGCCCGCCTGGGTGTCGCGATTCTCACTTTCAACGACGTTCCCGAGGCACACGCCGAACTCCAGAAGGAGATTGAACAAGCCAAGGTGGAGCTGCGCAAGGGCAAGGTCGAGGTCGACTAAATGCGCCAATGCGCGAGGGGTTCGCATCGTGATACCTCCGACCTGTGACAGGTCGGAGATCTAGGTTGAATGAAGGACGCAAAATCCAGAGCTACACCCATATAATACACGCTGCCGTGCCCGTCCTTAATACTATTTTCTTTTGATACCCGTTCACGTCGGAACCAGATCGATGGACATGTTCATGTTCTAAGGAAGTGAAGTAGCTTCAATTAAGCGTTCTGGGCAATCTGCCGATATGCCAAATGGAACCAAACTTTTCTATGGGAAATCATCAAGTATATCGTAAAAGCCACGCCCGGGGTCTACCAACCCCGACGCGTGGGCGGTAAATCGAGAGCAAATCTAGCGAATACCGTGAAAGCGCCGTGCAAATGATGCGAAGACAATGCAGTCTAGATGATGGGGTTCTCCTTGGCCAGAGCATCGTGCTCATCAATGTCCCTGCCAGCGAGTTAGTGGTGATGTCAACAACCCAGATGTGAAACTTACTTGGCCTCCCAAGGGTAGCAAATCCAGACATCGCCAGTGGTGACGGAAGCGTGGTAACGACCACCCTCCATCATATCGGCGGGCAGAACACCCTTCTTGCCCTTGTCCTTGTTCTATTCCAATTGTCAGCCGAGTTCACAGATTCAAAAGTTTCCAAGTTCCAACGTACGTGCAGAACAAAGACGAAGAAGTTGGTCTTCTCGCCCTCGCGGCCGAGCTGCTTCTGGGCAATCTCGACATCCTTCTGGAGCTCGCGCACGGCATACTCGAGGGTAGTACGGGTGTCATCGACCTCATCGACAATCAGAATATTCTTGCCAATCAGGTTGGCCATCTCGAGGGAGCTCATGTCGAGCCATTGTGTGCGGGTGACCTTGGTACCGGGGACCTCCTCGGCATCACCACGGCCAAGATCCTCGTAGAGAGAGAGACCGATGGCCTGGATGGGAATGTTGGGGTCGCCGGAGCGCTTGAGGAAAGATCTAAGAGATCAGCATACGCACGTGTGTGGTTTATCGTTGACGTACCGGAGAATGCGAGCAGGGACGTAACCACCACCACCGATGGCGATCATCAGGTTGGGGTGGAAGTCCTTGAGGATGTGCTCGGCCGAGGTCTGGCACAATTTGTGGACCTGTTATACAGTGAGGATGTGTTCGTACTGCAATTGTGCGGGGAGTGCAGATCTCTGCACTTTGCTGGGGAATCGTACCTGGTTGTAAGTGACATAGTACTTTTGGGACATGATGGGATGGAAGTCACAGAGACTCGAGACAATAAAAGAAGTATTTTAGATGCTGTCAAAGAGAAGAATGTTTTTTCGCCAAAAAAAAAAAAGAAAAAGTCGGGCCGATGCGGGGCATCTCCGGGGGAGTTTTATACTTTCGTCCGCTTCTACCCTTTTTGCTTCTCGTTACTCTTCACTCTTCTACTCTTCTACTTGCACTTGCCTCTTCTCATAATGCTTGCATATATTCAATCTAAGTGTACCAGGTAGCCTCAGGCACCTCATTCAACAGCGCATATCGTCCCACTTCACGATTCTTGTATGCCACCGGGTCATGAAGGGTATGAACCCGCACGTCACGCCAGAATCGATCCAGGCCCACCTTGGAGGCAGTGGCACGAGAACCAGTCACTTCAAAGACCCCAGCAGTCACTCGGAGAGCCTCATCAGTACTGACAATCTTGACGCTGGCCACCCACTCGGCCACCTCCCCGCGGGCGCGGGGGGTGAGAGCGGCCTTATCATTCTGATAACGGCCATACAGCGCCGAGAGCTGATCTCCGGCGCGATCGGCAAGCGCTTCATTAGCCCGCAGATGAGCAAAGAAGTTACCATACCGCTCTAGGATATAGAATTCATCGGTCGCGGATTCCTTGTTGTCGCCACCGAAGGGCCAAGCACGCGTCGCAGTCGTGGTATACTTGGAAGCGAACTCCAATGCACCAAGAGCGATGCCCAGGTAAAAGTTACTGAACACAAGTTGGATACTGGAGGAAATCAGTGATCACGACGCGAAATCATCGCAAAAGAAGGCACTTACGTGGGCAGCAGTAAAGTCGGGAACGCGATCTTCAGCGTATCCTCCCGGGGTTGTTTGCTGGCGGGATCCCAGCCCAAGGCATCGGTCCACGGAGCGCGCACGTTGTCAATCTTCACGCCACCAGACTCGGTCAAGCGTAGACCGATGTTGTCCCAGTTATGGGCGAACTGGATCCCAGCTTGACGGGTCTCGACGATGGCGAAGATGTGATCCTGAGTTCCCTCCAGGACACCCTCCAGGACGGTCAGGTCGGAAACCACACCGCCAGTGTTGAAGAACTTGTTTCCCGAAAACACGATCTGGTCCCCATCGGAGACGATCTTCAGATCACTGTCGCGGGGGTTCACCGCCCCGCCGATAAAGTAGTTGTTCTTGATAACCAACTCATTGGTCCGCTCGGCTTGCTCGGGTGTACCGACGACATTTGCTGTAGTCGACCAGAGGAGGTGGTAACCCAACAGCATGCCGATGGATCTGATAGGGTTTGGTTTAGCAGTGATCTATCAGGAACATACAATGTAGAACTTACCCATCTGCTTTGGCAACCTCACGGATTACCTTGTATCCCACACTCCAGGGTTGCTCTCCACCCCCATACTTCTTAGGGCCGAGCACCTTGGTCAAGCCCGAGTATTTCAGCAAAGCCACTTCCGCGCGTGGAGACTTGTTCTCTTGGTCTCTTTGAGTGGCATCTTTTGCTAGAACCTCGGAGACTTCACGCGCTCTTGCGATCCAGGCTTCTTCGGTGTCGGGCAGGCTGGACCATTTGGATTCGTATTCCGCATAAACTGCGGGGTCAGTGGCGGGGACGGACATTATGAAATTAGTTGTTGTTGTTCTTTCAGAGGGGAATTGGGTGTGATGTCTTATATGCCCAGATCTCTCGGGCGAATGCTCATGACATGCTCCTTTGACGATATCACGCAATGCGAACTCCAACACCCCAAAAATGAGGGTAAATTCGTCAATTCTATTGCGAATGCCGTCTATTGACGATCAAAACTTATCTCAAAAAGGTGTTATGAGCTCATACTCTCACGCCATTTCACTAACTACTAACTACTATTAACTATTATCTACTATCCATGGATGGATATCCAATCTCTCACTGCCTCTTCTTCTTTCCAAAAAGTCGCGATGTATCACCCAAAGGCAAATCAACCAGCGATTCCAGCAACATAAGATGGAAAACAATATACCACCCGATCAATCCTGCCAGGAAACAGAAGACACCGCCAGATTTCTTCAAGGCCACCGACGCGGCAGCATTGCCGTCTGCCATCGCAAAATAACTGGCAGCAACCGTCAAGAACCCAAGATCCACGAACAGGAACACCAAGATATAGGCCACATTACTCGGAAGCGAGGCAATCAAGAAAGTAAACACAAAGACCGTCCACAGAATCATAAAGAACCCCACAGCATTGTTATACTCAGGAGAACTAGTGCCCCCATAGGCCTGGGCGACACCAAATGCAGGAGTCAAGATAGCACCGTATCCAGCATAGAAAAGGCCTAGATGATCAGCAATCACTCGTACCCACGATCAGATCTTCACCTTACCAAAGGCACTAAAAACGGTATAGGCAAACCCATTTCCAATGGACAGCTCCCATTGCGCAGTGATCACCAACCCAAAGGCAGCGATGAAGAAGAAATTCGCAACGAAGACATTATCTGTCGTGACGCCTCTCCATTCCATCAAACTCAAAGAAAGGGTTGTCAATGTAGTTCCGAATGCGCCAAGAGCTAGGGCAGACTGCAGTATATACAATGTCAGCTTCACTCTCAGATTTTGAGATAAGAGTTCGTACCCCTGCACCGAGTGTCTTCGGAGTCTCGACTAGCAGAGTCCCTGTCTGCTGCTGTGGTTTCTGCTGTTCGACATCGATTGCATTGTGGACTTTCCCATCATCGATGGAATCTTGAGTGTTTGTAGACATGGTTACTCTGGTAGTATAGAAATGTGTAAAATCAATGGTGAAAGTTGAAAATAGTCATCTATATGGCTTTATCTAGAATTGACCAGATTGAGTATCACATCATTGCCGATCACGATGGCGAGAGACGAACCCCAAGTCACGACTGGCGATCTGGTCGATCATAAAATTGAGGCTAAGGAGAAGCTTAATCTAAGGCTATCGGCCGAGAATATATTCTCAATTATAGTATATAACACTATGTTTTTGAGATCTGCCTGAGTATACTTAAGTAGATGTTCTACAAAAATGGTGCATAAGTCGACTTTAGTCCCGTTTTAGCCTTGAAAGTCTAGAAGGGAGCAGCCTGGCTTTTACCAAAATCTTGAATAGAGCATTTGGTATATGAAACCAGTTAACAAACATCAAACATCATCATTGGTCTTATAGTCTAGTGGTTAGGACAGCGGTTTTTGAAGATATCCGTCCGGATACTAAAATATTACCGTTAGCCCCGGTTCGAACCCGGGTAAGACCTTTCTTTTTTTTTCCCCCGCCTCTGGTTAAACTTTTATTTTAAATAAAAATGAAGTAAATGATGAAAAGAGGAATTGTTCAAGGTGTCGCATTATCCAAAAGGGTATCATACCATCTGCGAGGGTGATGCATCAATCCCCTTGACCTACATCGCAGATTGGGGCATCTTGAATTGTGTATTGCAGAAGACTTTGACGGAATACAATGGACTTCAGGAAGAGGTTGTTTCGCGTGATTAGCTGAAGCATTATGATAATCGTCTCTAGCGCCGATCAAGTCTTTGCGGCTGAATCTCAATGGTTCGGTGAATTGTTTTTTCTTTCGTTTTTAATTGATCTAAACATGGACACTTATTATGTATCTCTGTCCGTATTTTATGGGATGAGACTACGGAGTAGTGAGAAACCATTTGGTGTGGGGACGGCCCCCTGTAACTGGCGCCTCTCGCGCTTTCCCTCTCTCTCATCAAGAGCCTAGAGAATCGGTCATTTTCGTCCGCTTTTCTCTCCAAGATTATGTCTCTTAGAGATGATCCAGTCTCGTGAGTTCTTTTGAATAGTTCGAAGTTTCATCTCCCACATAATGGGGAACAGCAAATCTGAAGGGTTTCGGCAAGCGTTGCGCAAGAGGAGAGATCGACTGTTGAGCCCGTTTCGATCATCAAGCCCTGCACACAGCACCGGTACTGTCTCCCAGCACCCTGTCCAGACAGACCCAAACGCTGTAAACGGGTAAGCATCGTATCGCAATTTGCTTGCAGGTGTTAATCAGTTCAGATTGACCTCAATTCCTGGGTCGACAGCCCTACCTACAAGCACCTTGCCAATAAATCAAACAAGTGACTCCGACAGTGACCAGGGGACTCCGCTTCCAACTGATTCTGCGCCGAACCTTTCTACAAACCAGTCAGTGCTGAGAAACAGATCGGCCTCAAGTGCAAACCACTCAGAGACTTGGAGCCCAGCATACCGCGAAGCAGTTGAAAGCTTTGAGGGACTGGACATCTCTTTGCTTGAGGGCAAAAACCTCGAGCAACTCTTCCAGAAGCTCGAAGATGATGGGGAAGAGGCTGAAGATAAATTGACCTTTTCAAAAGGCGTGCAGTTCTTGAAGAAAAACAAGGTTCCCCTTGAGAACTTGAAGTTGACGTTAGAAGTCGTGAGTCCGATTGCGAGTTTAGATCCAGTTGCAGGAGCTGTCGTCGGTGCCATCAAAGGCGTTACCGCAGTGAGTTCAATTTCATCACACTCCGGAATGACGCGAAATCCCGGATGCTTTTTACCTTCGGAATAACTCACCTATGGCTTGCTAGATGGCTATTGCCCTTGCGGGTGCAGATTTGGAATTGGCGGAGAAAATTGGGAAGTTGCTGAAGCAGATTCAGTACATCGATCATTGTGATACTCAAGGCCAGAAATCGGGCAGAGCAGATGTCCACAAGGTAACGAGTGCACTGAGGACTTGCTTTTGCCCTTTAATCTCTGACTCATTTAGGCCCTTGTTTCCGTTTACCAAACGATGCTGGAGTTCTACCAAGAAGCAACCAAGATTCTCGCAACAAAGGTAAAGGCGAGGACCATGAGGATGGTTCTCAAGGGCAGCGAGCTACCACAAATTATCGACAAGTTCGCGGAAAACTGTGAGCATCTTCACAAACTTGTTGGAAGTGTGATAGGCGACAACACGAACTATATCAAAGACACAGCGATCGATCAACGCGGTGAGTTTTCCTCCACACCTCGGTCTCTATGCACAACTCTGATCGATTCTCAGTCAACATGTTATTGGGGGGCGAGATTTGGCACCGCCAAAACGAACTCTATGCTCAATTGCAAGACCTTAGAGCTGATGGAGCCTGCGAATTTTTACTGCAAACCGAGCTCTTCCGCAAGTGGCGTGACCAGTCCGTGTCTCAGAAGCTGCTTCTTCTTGGCGATATGGGCTCTGGAAAGTCAGTTACTATGTCATGGGTTGTTCACCATCTGGAGCAAACGAACGAGCCCCAGATTCCGCATCCGAAGGTGTGTTGGTACTATTGCCGATATCCCGAGACCGACCGCGTCAGTCAGATTCTCCGTATTCTACTTCTGTCGCTTCTCAAACAGATGAAGGGCCTCCAGAGTGGGTTTCTGGAAAGCTATGACGACGCTGCTGGTTCGTTCGATCCAGTACAAAATGTCTCAGCCCTTAGAGGCTTTCTGCACGACGCCCTGGAAGCAGCAAATCGTCCTGTTTTCATCGTGATTGACGGTCTCGATGAGTGCTCACTGGAAGCCCGAAATGATCTTCTTGAATTGCTGGAACATCTGGCGCAAAAGTTTCCAGGGCTGAAAATGATGTTCTCTTCCCGTCCCGAAAGAGATGTCAAGGACCAACTGGGTGAGATGGACAGCATCCAATTGGAATTGAGTCTTCGTCGGGATGAAATTATCGCACAGAAATCAGTCGACAAGCAACTGCCTCATCTACAGCCGAGCGTCAAAGCATTGATTGTTGAAAAGCTATCTCATCTCGCAGAAGGCAGTGGCATTTGGACTAGGATGGTAGTACAACTCATCCAGGTCCGCAGAATCCGAACACGCGAAGCAGTTGAAAGTCTTCAAGGATGTGGATACAATATTACCCAAAGATCTCTCATCGCTGTACGTCGAGCTATATTTTCGCTATACTTTAGAAGACTCCACGAACGAGGAGCTTGCAAGCACAGCTCTGAAGGCCCTCGCTAGCGCCCGCAGGCCTCTCAGTATTTCGGAGCTCGCCTGGGCTGTAGGGCTCAGTACAGATCCAGAGGTCACCACCGCTGAGGCCTTAGGGGACCCAGTGGATGGTGAGACATTCATGGATCTGATACGTCCTTTCGTTCTTCAAGTGGATTCCGCGGACCTCAAGAAGCATCAGGTCAGGCTGAGTCACCAGTCAGTGAACGACTTCGTTTTGGAACGATGGGCTCTCTTCCCTCATCTGAGAGGGTTGACCCCGTCAAAACACAACCCAAGAGACTTGGACCCGCGCTTTGGGAAGTCCAATGAGTTCATGTTAAATCTTTGCATCCGGTATCTTCTCCTGGCTGAAATTGACGAAAGACCTTTGTTAGAACCGCAAGAGTCGGCAATCTCTGAGCTACCAGGATTTGTGTATGGGTCTTCTGACTCCGACGATGGGGAAGAAGACAGCGATTCGCAGGACGATTCTGGTGACGACATAAATTGCTTCGATCCGGCGGATCGTGGGTTTGGCCAGTTCTTTATTTATGCATCCTGTCACTGGTTAATCCACCTCAAAACAGTTACCAAGGAATATCTTCCTGACCTATGTCATGTTGAGAGACTGTGCCAGAAAAACTCTCTTCGGCTAAAGAACTGGGTTGATCAGAGATCGCGCCCTAATTGCACGCTGAAGGACCAATCTCACCTTTTCCAAGGACCGTTGGACCCTCTCAGGATTGTCTTGACCAACAGCTCCCAAGATCTGCTGTGTTATCTGCTTGAAAAATCGGATTTTGACCCAAATATCTTCCTGGGCAATACAGCCATGAATGCGTTCTTCCGGCTCGGTTTTGAGGGAATATCTTCCAACCTTGAAATCTCAAAGCTCGTGATTCTTTTCGAGAATGATCGAGTGGGTCTTCAGCTACGAAATTTGGAATTCTTCGGATATGTCATGAGTTTCTCGCCTTCTCCTTTCAGATCCGGTCAGCTTATTGCTGACTGGAATCCCGTGTTTGATCTCGTCAACAAGATTTCAACCACAATGATCCAGCAGGGATGGGGCAATGAGCTCATGTGTTTAGCCGCAAAGAGAGGCTGCTTGCCCATCATACAGAGACTCATTGAAAAGGCTCATACTGACCCAAACCTGCACGATGAGCTGTTACGCCCATCCATAACCGAGCCACACCATGCGATTCAACGGGCTATTTTGACAAACCAGCTTCACATTGTTGAATACTTGCTAAAAAACGACCCCGATGCCCGTCTCGGATGCCGAAACTCCCTCGGAGACAATGTTTTACACACAGCATCAAAGAAATGCATCCATGAGATGTTCCGCATTCTCGTTCCTCGTTTCCGTGAGGGGATGTATCAGCTAGACAAACAAGGAGATACACCGTTGATGGCGATTATAAAAAGCCCGGCAGGCTCACTAGAGCGCTTCGACTGTGCGCAGATACTCTTTCAACACCACGAGGCCAATGGAGCTGGTGATCTTTGGATAGAGACTCATAATCCGTTAGCAGTGGCTTTGCAAGATGATGATCTGGACATGTGCTGCTTGCTGATCCATGCTGGTAAAATCGACCCAGTTGCGGCCCTTGGCGACAGAAAAGTTCAGGCAGACTCAAGACAAAGCAATATGGTGGTTGAGAAGTCGCTGCTACATGCGTTGGGCAAACTCTTTGGTATCAACCCAGCGTTGTCAAAATCCGATCCAGAGGCTTTTCGTCGGTTCGCCAAGGAACACGTTCAAAGACGAATGAATGAGCCACGACCTGTTGAAACCCGATATCTTTGGGATACTTCTTGAGCCTCCAAGCGAAGGAGAAGGGCGGGCAATCTGTTTTTCACTGGAGAGAAAGAGCCGGTCTTACCCACACCCCACAGCTACTAACCAAAGTTCCTTTCTAGCAGAGCTCGAGTGTTACGCAGCCCTTAATTTTTAAATTATTTTCTCGCAAATAAAGAGCAAACTTAAAGATGCAATGTATAGAAGGAGAGAGACTACTCTGGACCGGCGGTTAGAAGGAAAAAAAAGTAACCCGGTCCTGGATTCGAACCAGGAGTCTCGGGAGGACGCGCCTACACCTTCGGAGCACAACGCTTATGCGGTGACACACTCCCGGGTTGGTACATCCCCGCAGTGCCTTAACCACAGACCGACCAGGCTTTGTATATTTATTACAAGTGGATCTTGTTACAAAACTACACCAAAACGACAAAACGGTAACCAAGAAGAGAAAAAGAAAAAAAAGATAACGCCTAGGCCGGGATTCACCCGGATCTCTCGAGTCTCCATCCTCCGTCTGATTTATTGCCTACCCAAATGTCAGCTCACCCCAATAGAAGACACAAGGAGGTCGCGACTACTCGAACGCCCTACCATTAGACTACCTAGGCTCTGGGCTGTAATTCTATGTGGGTCTTTGCTAGGTAGCCACCAATTAACTGCTCCAGTAGCCACGTTGGGCTCCACACTCCGTATCCACGGGTCATTGATATCGGGATATTCCCCCGGTTTCACTACTGTCGAACACTGGTTTCAAGCATTGTAGGGTCTGATAAAGCTATATAGACAATTCGAGTAGTGCAGATTGTATCCGGAACTAAGTCACTTGTCAAGATACTCCGTACATGTATAAGGAAAAGAACAACGCCTCCGATCTCATTTCGACCCAGTCCAACAAGTGCAAAGGAATCATTCCACAACCTCGGAAAGTGACTTCTGTCACCATGGATATCATCTCAAGAAAATGCAGTACAGTTCCCCAAGGCCAACTAGCATAAAGACTTGGGAGACGAGAGATGCAAGCCTGGCAGGGTCTTTGAACTGTTCCTCCATCACACAGATGACCACATTTTCAGACTCTCCAGGTACTCCTAGTTCTTAGTAGATTCGAAAGCTGCGAACTATGATTTCTGCAGGGATCACAAGGTATAGTCTGGTTGATGAGGTTGCTGCGGGGTTCTTGCTATATGTGCGGGATCGACAGAATGATCATGCAGTTTGATAGAAAGGCATATTCCGCTCTTCAATTCACTCTGCCCTATAAGTATAGGCCTTGTCCAAGTGGGTTGGGGCAGTAACGATATCATTATGTGATGATTTGACAAGCTACTTTTAAGGGGAGAGCAAAGCAGTATATCTTGTTCTATTTAAAAGGGGAGAAGATGAGAAGGGAGAGAGAGAAAGGGAGGGTAGATCAGAAAACCTGGAGACTTAGAAGACTTGCAGAGAGGAAGTGGGCTGCAGAGGGTTGACAGAAAGGACCTTAGAAGCCTAGTTAGGGTCATAAATGTGTAACAATACGGTTATAATGAGTCATGTCCAAGATCAATGAAAAGATGTGGAGAATTTTATTGGTATTGATTGGAAGATCAAAAAGGACAATAAGTAAGGTCTGGATCCTTTTAATTTGTTTCAGCTTGTGAAAGGTATAGTTTATTTACAAACTTGGATTTTTATTAAATGGAAAGATGGTGTTTCTATTCTGGAAGGGTGATCTTTTATCCGCTATATCATAATCGATTTAGTTTTGGATGGCAATAGAGTGATTTATTAAAAAGCTAAAGAATTTGAGATTATTTATTGCAAAAAGTATGGATTAAATAATATTGAAAATAATAATTATGGTTATAAAGATAGTAATAGTAAAAACAATAGCTCAATTTAGCAAAATAGTAGTTATAATAGAAAATATTGGAGCGAGTTTGCTTGTTACACGAATTTATGCAAGCCGAAGATGAGAAGTTGTTTTGAGATGATTAAATCTAGTGATAATAATAATGTTTTTAGTTAGCCAATTTATAGTTGCTATAGAAAATACTGTAGTAAACTAGTTTGTAATTAGATATTGTTTACACAAAGATAAAAGCCAGTCTCTGAAAAGTCAAACAGCTCTAAGGTTAAGATAAAACAGTTTGAATAGGAGATTCAGCAATTGAAGATATATAGATCGGCCTCAGGGCCCGATCTCGGGATGGGGGAAAGCGGTCTAAGTGGGGGCTAAATGGGGAGGGAAGGGTTGTGCAGACAATGGACACTGTTTCTTCATGCCGCGGTCTCGATAGCCCTTTGAGCCAGAAAAAGGTCCATCATCTCGGAATCGTGATAGGTTCCTAATACGAACAAGTGCTTCCGCCTTGACGAATAAAGTGTCAGCTCAAGGTTCCTCATTGGAGTGTGAAGTATGGTCTAGACTACCTGGATGCTCCTGACGAACTCGCCATTGTTCATTTGACCGGGCAATACTTGATTGCCTAAGGGGAACTTAAGTATGCAAAGAAACGCATGGAAACTATGCTGCCATACGACCTGCTGTCCTGGTGACTGCGCCATTTCATCTATAAAATATCCACTTTCTATTGTACCGTAGCATCGTGCTGCTTGCCAAGTAATTTTTGGCCCCATGCACCATGATCGTAGCCTTGAAAAGCTTGGAAGTAGATTAAATGAGCTCAAGCTAGCGTCTTATCTGATTGCCAAGACTCTTTTTGGCCCCATTATTCACAGCAGCCACCGCATCATGTTTGGAAGGAAGCTTGAAGATAACTGCTAACTGCTAATTGCCAGTAAGTAAATCTGTAGTAGCGTCTTTTTTGATATCTGATTGCCAAGAAGTTTTTGGTCCCGGCATCCACAACCATACCCACAAACACAGCAAGATGGGAAGGTGAATCCAAGAAATTGAAAATACAACATTGAACGACCAAGTGCTAGAGGTATAAATCCCTAGATGTAGCCCAAGATGACCTGAAAGCATTCTCAATACACCTCTCAATTCCAATCTCCTTCCATTACCTCCCAATCCTACACCAGTCAACAACTTAGAAAATGCGTATTTCCGCAGTCATCACTTCTCTCGCCATTGCACTGTTACCCTGGGTGGCAGTTGCCGACTGGGCCGAGCTCAGAGATCTGACCAAGGTCTCCGGCTGTGGTCTTCAATGCGGCAGTCTTCTCCCCATCTTCGAGAACGATTCCTTTGACGACATCTGCAACAAGCTTGTTGAAGACGGGTGCGTATTCCCCCACGAGATACTCATCTAGAACACTCGAAAATGCTCTCATTCGATACCGAGCAAGCTAACAAATTTAATAGATGTGCGTCTGCCTTCATCACTGGAAAGGGTGGCGCTGGATCTGCTGGATTCGGTAAGGCGGACGGTGTCAGCTGTGAGGACGCTGCGCCCCTTGGTCAATTGACTTGCACCAATGCCTTCCGTGCTGTTCTTGGCTCCCTGACTGGGTTCGGTCGTGCCGGTGGCACCCAGGCTCAGCAGAAGTCTGTCTACACTGCGGATGGAACTTACATCGGTGCTATCAACTTTGTCGGATCTTGCATTCCCCAGGGTCTTAAGGCTGTGTGTTAAGGATTTGGGTTTCTACCTCGGCGTACCTAGGTAGCCGAACAGTGTATGGTAATCGGAGCAATAGAACGAAACGGTCCTGTGTTTTTTCTTGGATTCTTCTTACCTTGAAGACCCCAAGGGGGGATATTCATGAATGGCTGTTGTCCAATAGGGAAATCCGTCTACGAGCATCTGGGATGCGACCTTTTAGGGACCGAGACCGTACGACTGACCTTTGCTTTCTAATTAGGACTACTCTACTCATTATATCACCCCTTGATAAAGCTCTGTTTAGCTTTTTTGAACAGCTTTATTATTATTTTTATAATCATCTAAATATTTGTTGTTCAACATTGCTTTTATTCATTCTCTTAACTGTATAGAAGATCCTAGTTTTTTTGAGTAAGCTTTATAGAATTCTGTTATTCTTTGTAGAATACTATATATTATTTATATCTTAGTTGATATATTTAATTTTATAAAATAACTTTTAATATTAGACTTCCGCAAACCTATAAAGAGTCCGATCTCCATACAAGGGTAATACAAATTGTACAGGGTTCAGAGCATATTCATAGAGGATCTATATAGAATCCGCAGTAGACCTCAAACAAAACCCAACTAGGATCCAACTTTCAGAACCTAACCCAACCTGCAGGTCCAAAAGTCAAACCTGTATTCAACCTATAGGTTATCAACAGATTGGGTTTCGGGTTCTTAACAAACCTATGCTAGCCTAGTAGTACCAATTATCTAATTTTCGCCGCCTTTCTACAACAATTTCTGACGCCTTCATCTTCGTCTCTCTCGTTGAATTTATAGTTTACTTCCTACGCTAGACATCAAAAATATATCGATCCTCGAATCTACTGCCACCAGAACGGCCAAAAAAGCCTAATCCCGAGAGCGACACCATCATGATGTGCCACGTAGAATAGAACACTGACCCACAATATACACCGATCTTGGCAGAATAATTTCCGCCTTGTTGAGCTCTGTTGATTGAGGTTTCCTGTCCGCAATGCGTTGACTCATTGGACCACAAGAGCTCGTTGCAGCTACTATATAGTGTTGTGAGGGATGTTTGCCACAACCCCCGATTGTAGATAAGATCCTACTTCCATAGTCCTTCTCTCCTCTCTTCTTTCTCTCTCCCCAGAGATCAATAAAATCGGTTCTTTCGATCCCTCTGCTCTCTCAACAGGTTATGAGATCCCTCTGACAGAATTCTCGTATTCTATACGCTTCTTCTGTGCTAGATACTATTTCCTTTTTGGGAAGAAGGGGGTGGTTGACTCCGGTCAACCCACCCCATCTTACCCTTACTTTCACTTGATTTTACTTCACTTTTGGTCAGACCTTCCCCTCTCCTGCTACCATGGCTTCTGCAGTGCTGCCTGGCAATGTGCTTGCTGCTGCTGCTGGGTATGCAGCACCTGGAGAATGGGAGGACTTCGA